AAATAATACCACGAAAACTAGGCACAGTTTAAAACATTCGGTTTTAAACTTGTTTTTAAAAACTAATACTAATGGAACTGTATTTACAAAAAAAAAAAAAAAAACTACTTGAATATATTATAAAAACAGATCGTATGGTGGGGTGATAACTGATAAGGGGTAAGTAAATTGGATAATAGAAACGGATGGAATAATGATTCAAATCAATAATTTACCAATAGAAAAAAAGAGAGGCTAGAATTAAAAAAATAAATCTGTGTTCTACAAAATATTTTTCTGGAATCTGGATATCATGAGTTTCTTTTCATGTTTTATTTTTTTTTTTATGGGGAATTTTTTGTTTGCATTAATTAATAGTGTAATACATAAATAGTTGTTACTAACTAAATGTTGACTGTTATTGAAATATTTTATTTATTATAATTCGCAACTATTGGTAGGTATTTTTACGTCTTAATACATAGTTTCGTTTGTCAAATATTCATGTTCACAGTTATTTCATCGTTGCTGTTTTGACGGTCGCTATAATATTTGCGTTTTAAGTTGTACTATACGACATGCTATTCATGTATTATATTTACGTGCATGTGGTCACACTATTATTGTGTTGAAAACGTTATTATATCAGTGAAAACGCACAGGCACACTAATAGAGTGCGATAAAAAGAAATGAATAGGTATAACATAATATGATATTATTACTAAATAACTCAATTCGACTACCTATTTTGTTCTCATAGATGATAATATTAATACGATATTCTAATCGGCATTTCCTTTAAACAATAACCACTTGCAGAAAACATCGTCTCTTAATTTAATGCGAATAAAGTTTAGGCAATTATCTGTGTTTGAAGGTTATCGGTTTGGATGCCAGTTTGAATTAATTATAATTTGTCTACTTTATAAATAGATAGGTACCTGGAAATTATTATTGTCTTATTGATATACACTTTTCAGTGGTTTCAAATAGAAATAACCAAAATTTATTAAAGTTAGGTCAGTGACGAAAGTTGAAGAAGGGTTAGGACTCCAAACCCACTCCAAAATATAAATAATACCCTTTGATTTGTATTTAAAATTGAAATAAAACATTTATTTACAATAATACTAAGTCAAATGTGAAAGATATTTTTAGGGCCCTCCCGATATTTTTCAATGCGTTCACCTCTGATAGAAAGCTTTTAACATTTAATACCTGATTTTCAACTGTATCTCAAAAAGTCCAAACCAGTATCACCCTTTTTATTTTTCGTGTTACCCCATGGATTACTAAAAGCCACAGTTTAGTATAGTATACAAGGTCAATATTATTATAAATACATAAAATGAATAAATTATAAATGCTATATCTACAAGCACTGTAATATATTCTTAAACTGAAATTATTGAATACATATACGACTATACATTTTATTTAATGATATTTTGTAAGCCTCCTGACAATGTCCAAAGTTGGGCAAGTTAGGCGTGTTGACGATTATGAGTTTTAACTATACGCGAGCATAACAACGAATTTGATTGGGAAGACATTAATTAGCCAATAATTCTGGATGAAGACGATGAGGTATATCTATACATCATTTTAGGCACGTTATTGATTATACGTAGATACATACGTATTTTAAAGAAAAATGCAGAAGCTTGGTGTATGGCATGTTAGTAATGCGCGTGTGACTTAATCATTTTCATAATTGTATTATCAAACGTATACAGATAAATAAATATATATTTATATATATATGACTAATAAATTTAAAAAATATTTGCATTGCCCATAATATTCTTATTAAGGAAAATCATCATACGTGTTGTATTATGCAGCTAATAGTGGATTAAACTATTATTGTTTTGTATAATATATTCTCGCATCGGACTATCTGTCATTTTTTGAAAATCATAAAATACTATCTAGATTAGATTAAGTCAGGAGCGGTTCTTCGCTACTGCTACAGGAATGCATTAGCTTTTCAGAGTGGTGTAATTTATTCATTTGGAGTGGAATTTATTAAACATTCATTAGTGTTGAAAAAAAAAATAAATGATGTTCATTTAATTATTTTTGTTTTGTTGTTTTTTTTTCACCTTAAAAAAAGATTAACAATTGAAAACCCGTCAAGTTTCGTCATAATTATCATAAACAGATGAGTATCTGTTATAATGTTAGATTTTTAACTATAATGAATATAGTTTTGGTTTTACTATGATGTTTATTTTTTTTTCTGTGGACAACTTTTCTACCGGAAATTTTACTCAAATTTACAACGATTGCACTTTTTCTGAAAAGAAATTGGACTGGGGTGTTACTTTAGGGAAGTCGTTTTTTGATTTTCCCGGGAGTTTTCCCATTACATGAGAAAAAAGGATAAAAACATGGAAAAACGGGTAAACACGTAGGGAAGAGAGGAAAATAGGTACAATATAAAACAAATAGCATTAAGAAAAATATATAATGCATGTAATTATTTTACTATATAATTACATATTGTTGACAAAGCTACAATATCAGCTCAAAATCGTTTATTCGTTAGCAATGGTTTATCGTTGCTTACGGATATACATTAAATTTCTTTTCTATTGCCTTCCCAACTTCTCATCTATAACAATGGCTGCATCCATTTCCAAAATTCTAGGACAGCTTTTTTCAATTTATATTTTCTACCAGAAATTTTGCTCCAGTTGAAAAATAAAATGAGATAGATTTAATTTCTTTTAATATATAGTCACTGACAAAAAAGTCGTTTTTTATTATATAAAGGAGTTTTGATAATAATTGCGATAAACCAAAAATGACGAAAAATACAATTTGTTCGTTTTTTGATTTCTTTAATTGTATTTATAATAATTAGCAAAACCGAAAATACAAAGATAGAACAGGACAATTTTCGAAAATAATTCTTTTGTTATTTTAAATATAATTTAGTTGAAAAATATTTGTAGAGACTTTAAATTCGGACAGTAAACTTATATTTGTCATTTCTAGATATGGTAAAATATTAAAAACATTTCATCTATTTTTGAGCTATTTATAGACATTTAAATTTTTCTGGTTTTTTTACGTAATTTTGATTTTGTAGGTTTTCAACGGATAATAAATTAATTATGAGCCTTAACACAAATGCTTGACAATTTTACAGGATTTCAACGAAACCCGTAAATATTACGGTCTTTCAAAACATGGATAGACGAACTTCGTTCCTAATCGTTTTTCATTAGAATGGTTTATCGTTGGTTACAGGTATAAATTAAATAATTTTATGTATCCTACCTTCTTAACTTCCCACCTACAACTGTGACACACCCGTTCTCAAGTAACAGTTCCCCCCCTCTGAAAATATACGAAAAAACGTATCGATGTAATAACGTATTATCGCGGCGATGACTCATCGCCGAATTCGGTAGTTTTGTTATGTATCGTATGTACGTCCGAACGCTGTACAAAAAGCGCCCGACACTCGTATATAATGAATAAACTGTATATATATATAAAAAAAAAATCACAACAATAATAAAATAAAACAAAATCCAAATCCCGTCGCCTTATTAAATGTGATATTTTCTATACAATCGGTGCGTTAGACCGGCCGCGAGATTTTCCCGTATAACCGAAGAAATCCGCGAGCGGCGGCCGCGCGTGTCAATTATCGCGAGTTGAGCCGGCCGCGATGGGGTCGGATTTTGACAGGAGACTGATGACGGCCACGAGACTATCCGTGACGTACGTTTTCGAATACTCACACGCGCGAATTTCCACGCGAGCGTCGCGTATATTATAGACACGCGTCCGGCACGTGTTCTCGTCTCCCGTCCGAACGAAAAAAAAAAAATATTAAAAATAACACGGTTGGATCACCGTGTCAATCCAGTGGCCGTCCAATTATTAGACAACTCCGGGGACATTAGACGTCTTGAAACCGTATTAATTTATAAATGATATTTTTTAACGTTTCATTGACATGAATCTGCGGTCGGAACTAAAAAAAAAAATCCTAAATTGTACACTGTTCGCACTAGAGCTCTGCACGTTCCGGTTTTTCAAAGACCGGACTGGACCAGTGAAGTGAAATTAAGACCAGGACCGAACCGCACTAATGGAACAAATCATGGGAACGGACTGGAGTGGACCGTTTATTGTTTGCCTAACTAAATTAGACCGAGACAAGACTGTGTTAAAATATATTAAGAACGGACTGGACTAGAGCGAATCGGACTGAACTGCGCTGAACCTGTTAGGCACTGATTTATTATTTATTTGAAAATGAATAATATTTAATATGAAATCCATAATCGTAATAAAATGATGAAATGGTCTTCTAAATTTAAAATAGATAATAACAAAAGAGCAAATCGCACGTTACGAATCAAGTGGTTCGTTCTTAGAGTTAATAAACATTAAAATGAAAAATACAAAATAAACTTTATCGCTGTGTCGTCAGTTTTCGTCGTGTGTATTTGAAATCGTTTCGCCGAATATGATTACTCCAGGGCCCAGATAATAGTTTATTTTATACGTATTAGGTAATAATATAGTTATTTTACTATAGGTACTCTATCGACATTTAAAACCGGATCGAGTCTTAAAATTGCGGACGAATTGAACCGGACCGAAAGAAGAATCTGACCGACCGGACCGCGCAGAGAAACCCTATATTCCGAACAAATGGCCCGAATGGTCCGCAGTCCTACTTAATAAGCCGCACGGTGGTCCGTGAACGTGAAAATGTCGTGAACCACCGGGCTAAATCTCCGTCGTCATCGACACACGGTGAAATGAAAACACGTCGCCCCGACTCTAAATGCGTTTCGGGCGATTCGAAAACGAACAGCGCCGGGCGTGCAGTTTTCTGAGGGCGTCGATGTATTAAAACCGCCGCCGCCGACCCGCGCACTTTTTGTTTCGCACTCGGATCGTAAAAAAAAAAAAAATCCTGCTGAATTTTCAGCTTGTTAACGGTGCGCGAGGGTACTGATGCGAGGGTCAGGGGGGGGAGGGAGTGCGTTTATTCTACGGACGTGTTCTGCTTACCGCGAGCGATGATCTCGCCGGCCTCCCGGGTCCAATAGTTGATCGTCTGGGGATGAGCTTCGGACATGCACTCGAGCGTCAGCAATTGGCCGACGTAGGCTCCGATCAGCTGGTTCGGGATATTCATCATCGGCGGGACTGCGGCGAGTGAATAACAAAAAACAAAAAAAAAAAATATTAACTCGTGATTTTCAATAATATTACAAAAATAATTAATAGTGGCAAAACGTGATTGTTTTAAATACATTTGTAAACCATTTATAGTATAGCGCAATGTATTATGAAGATACATTTTATTAAAATAACTTTATAACAATTAAAGATAATTTCTAGAATAATTATCTGGATTGAGATAAAAAAAAAAATAAATATACATTAAAATTTAACTATCAAGACAAATATATAAAAATAAAATAATAAGGAACTTTGAATCTAGATAAAAAAAAAAAGAAGATAAATATTTTGTTCATTGCCTTTCAAAAAACTGTACAAAAGTACAACTAATAAAAGTATTAAAAGTTTACGAGGTTCGTAAACGTTCACACCTTATAAAGTTAGTGTTTGTTTGCTTAACGTAATAATTTATTTTAATATAAATTAAATTATTAAACCTTTTATTTTTAATAATTATATTAATTGCGATTTAAAAAGGCTTATTTACATCTTTCAATTATTTATCTCTGATAACGACTCAGAAGGCTGATTTCTCGTGTGTCTAGACAAGATAAAATATAACAATATACCTATTTAAATAAAACACAACACTGTATAGCGTATATACCTCTAATAATACCATAAAATATATTTTAAACTGTATATTCAAAATACATAAAATATTAAAACAGCGTAGTTGTTTTTTGTGGCGTATCATTTGTATTCTTTGAAATTATTACAATAAAGATGAACTTTTTTATATAAAACAAATACATATTTAGAATGGGGAAAACTATTCGAATATTAAAAATAAATGTATTTCTCGAGTATAATATTATAATTTCAATGTATGTGTTCATATTCGCCCGTTGATAGTTCAAAGAATATTTTAATTCTCATGGACGATTCGAGTTCCGTGATTCAGTCCAAAACGAGTGATTTAAAATTTTATTTTATTTTTCGTATTTTTTCCTATTATATACTTATGTCATCGATAAAAATATATACATATAATACTACAATTTACTGTCCGTAATATTCAAATTTCTGGTATCGCATAATATCAAAATTGATTAACCTATAGAACAACTAAAGAAGTAATTTTATTTTGGTTTTTTTTGTACATCGCATTCATATTATTATGCACGGTTTAGCTTATAGATTTTTTTTGAAAATCACGTCTCACGTATAACATCACGGTTCAAAGCGTCTTCGGGTCAGGTTGTGTTATGAAGGAGCAAGCGAGTGACGTATCCAAATATTTCATTGTGGGAAAGGCTTAACATAAGAAATAAAAATGAAAAAATATAATAATGTAAGCAAATATAATATTTACATTCAACTTTCTCCATAATATTATATAAAACCTTATTATTGATGTTATTTTTCAAAATACATAATTTCAGTGTAGTAGTACAGCACGCTTGTATTTAGAAGGTTGTATATTTTCAATACTTAACAATTTAAATAGTCCTGAATGATAGTTGGGAGCCTTCCTGAATCAAGACTGGATTAGGCTCAATTATAGCCTTAGGCACATATTTTTCGGGGTTGTCCTGAGTGTGTCCCGAAATGATCCCTTTTCAATGTACCGAATGCATCTGGAATATGGAATCACCCAAGTATACCCCAAGAAAAAAAGATAACTTTTTAGCCCAAAAAGCGTCCTAGTTCACTCAGAGTGCACCACGAGATGATAAACTCACTTAAAACCCAAAAATTATTTTTGTATTTTTATATTTTTATGTACCTTACCTACACCCATTAAGTTAGGATGAATATACTAATTTCATGTTAAATAACCTCTTTTTTTATAATGTACTTAATTTTAGATTCTGAGCAGAATGACGAATGTATTGTTTTACAATAAATTACTTTAAGTACCACTCCAGATGATTTTTCGATTATCTTTGGGGTTTTAATTATAAATGGGAAAACTGAAAAAAACGTAGGAAAATCGAGAATATGTGTATGAAATTTATTATTTTTAAATCGTAAATAATAAGGCCTTTCAGAACATGTATAACTGAGCTCCGCTAAGAATCATTTTTCGTTAGGTAGCAAAGATTATTCGTTACCTACAGACATACATTAAATTTCCCTCTATATTCTATCTTCCCACCTATTTACCTGCGACAGTGGACCACCCTTCGTGCGAAATAAGTCCGTATCTTTTTAAATATTAAAAATGTTGTCCATATTAAAGGCTGGTTTTTAAATACTAATCAATAAGATGCACACTACTTTGTAATATATTTAAAATTAAATGAACCTTGAAATTAAATGATTTATTGATAACCTAATTTATCATAACCAGCATCTGGAAATTTAGATGTAAATTATTTAATAAGTGACTTGTATAATAAAATATTATAATAGTATTTAAAATATTTTATTATACTTAATTATTGCGAGACGATGTGTATTATTATAAATAAAATAGCTTCTGACATTCGCTAGTCTTAGTTAAAGACGGGCCTACCTAACTTACACATTATAATGGGCTTGCCCTCATTTCTGGTTATGCCCAGTGGCATAAACAGAAAAAGACGTCAGTGATTATATCCCCCTATCCCATCGGTTTAAAAATATAACAACTATGAGTGTTTATTTAGTTATTTAATCTAGAAATTCAGCAGAGTATTTCAGCCAGGTTGCAAGAAAAAAAGCTAGATATAAAAAAAAGACTCTTTTTAACCATCATCGTCGATTTAGGTATGTTATAAAAGATTCTATGATTTATTCGTGGATTGTGATTATTATTAACTACATCCCATTCTCTCATTCGAAAATTTCTGGGCACGCCACTAGATAGGACGGCGGAAAGGTTTCGCGATTACGCGAGCAGCACATTATAATATTATTAGATAAGTTTAGGCACGTTAATTATTTCAAGTTATCACGATCGGTATGTAAGTAGGTAGGTATAATCGTAAACTCACAGTTGACCACCAGCATTATACGCTTACTGACCGACGGCGGTACTCCGTTGGACGCTATGCACAGATACGCTCCCATGTGAAAGCGGGTGATCTGTGTCAGATTCAGGATCGGCCCTTCAACGCTGTTCACTGCAACACACAAAAACAAAACATTATCATAATATAACACAACAATGTTATCATCATTATTATCATTTTATATCTATTGTCACTGAGTATACTATAGGCAGGTAAATAGGTGCGCTATTTCCCTAAAATCCGTCCTCCGATTTCAGGTTGTTATGGACGACGGCACAATGGACCTATGATTACCCATGCTCGTATGCACATAATAATACAAATCATATTATGTTATAATTGTTATAATAACATGTTATATGACTCGTATGGTATACGTTACCGCCACCGGCATACATCAAAAAACAATACGATAATAATAATACAATACAGGGAAGGGGTCCGGTTATCATAAACCACCAACTTCCAGGAGAATTTTAAATGAATATTATTTCCGTTTATTTTATAACTGTTTTGTTTTCAATAATTATTATGGAACCGTTTTAACTTTGTTTATTTAAGTTATAATAGTTCAAAGTTTAGATTGGAAGATTAGGAATAGTTTATAAATTTAGCATCTAAACATAAATAAGACATACATTTTCCTTTTCTACTCTTCCGACCTAAATTTTAAACTATTTTTTATTATTTTTTTTTTTTATTAGAAACTTTGTAGTACAATTAGTTTTGACAATAAACTGGTATAACTCATAAACGGTATGTTCGATATTGGTGTTGAACTGTTAACATAAATCCAATTCACTTGAAATCCTTCGAGAAAATAACTGGCTGATATGTGGATCACCATATAATGTTATATCAACAACTTGTGGTCGACGATCATCCGACATCAGTCGTTTACTACTAAAGAAACCGTGAAATTTCAATATTGGAAGTTTTAAATCCAAATCGAATGTTTTCCTCCCTCTGAAATCTAATCATAATAATTTTGATGTCGCATATTATGACAATCAGCTTGTTATCATAAGCCTTTAACAATAATGGGGAGGTATTGCGATGTATTATCGTGGTCTTCCCTGTTAGTAGTGCTCTTTCAAGTCTTGTTCTCAAAGTAATTACCGTGAAACGCACGATGAAAGCACGAAATGAAACAACAATAACCCGGCAATCAAACGTCCTAGAACTTTCTGACTATATGGGCGAAAACAGCCTTTTTAAGAGCTGCCCATCCATTCTTCCCTCAACACCAGTTGTCGTTTCATAACCCACGTGACTACGTATCAAATTAATAAAAAAAATAATTGTTTAAATATATATGTCTGTACATTGTTTGTATTAACAAAAAAATTTTTTTTTACATTCTCCAGATTTTCGAAAATTATAATATTAAACATGCGATATTATAACTTAACCTTTATTACAATATTTCTCTTAAAGAAGAGTAACGCTGCATAACTGCTATGCGTAGTGTCAGTCCGTATAGATTGTGATGTAAATTGGTAATATTATTATGTATGTTAGCTTATAAACACAATTTCCCGTCCACATGCCGATCATAAAATTGCTAATTAACCTCAAAAACATTATCTATCACCAATTATTATTGTCCGTAAAACGTATTACGTATTCAGAATTTCTTTTGTTAATAACGATAATTGGCCACATGGCCATACACATTGGCATTGGCCAACCCGGAAATTTCTCCAAAAAAAAAAAAAAAAAAACGACATATTATGTTGTATCCGTTTTTAGACGATAAACCTTCCCCTATACTCCCCGACCTATACATAATTGAATATCGACGTATGTTTGATAAACATTCTCTTTTCGAAATTGATTTGTGTTTTTACGATTGTGGTCATGTACCATGACGATTTTGTAAATAGTGTAAATGCTATATTACATAATATGGCATCGGTTGATAAAAGATAAAATTTCACATCGAAATCTCCGTGGATAACCGACGGATCAATTATGTTAAAAATAATAATAATCACTGTAAAACGTCCAAACTTTTCTTTAATCCGGAACAAACGGGTGCCGTACCCGCCGACGAACTCCGAAATTCTATCGCGTACCTATGCGTATATGACAATTACTATTATAATATTGTCGGACGTTTTCCAAAGTGTCACGTATACACAATTACCGTGTATGTGTGGCACGTCTGTTCGGTATACCCACCACCGAACTCCGTCGTCGACCGCGGGTGTGGCGTAAGGGTCCCGCCGCGCGCGTATACATGTTAAGAGTCGGCCAAAAATCATTTGCGAATTCGCACGGACAGCCGGTCATAAACCGCGTTCGCCGCGCACACATACCGAATCGTTGTCGTTTACATATTTATTTCTGTGTCCGATGACGTAATATTTCGTCGGTTATACACATACATACGGCACGTATTTCGAAATTCGATACAATCAGATGGTTATTATCGATGTTGATAATAAAAAAAAAACGAGCGTTTCCGAAAATTTGTTGTTCTATAATTCGTTTTTTTCGTTAGACTCGTTGTTGCACTGTAAACCACGAAAATAATAATAGGGTATATTATTTGTTGATAGTTTAGATAATTGTTTACGTTTGTCTTATCTAAAACTTTCGTGTACCAAACGTTTTTCGTTGATACAATCTAACGATAAAGTACATTACGCCGGCCCACCCGTGATCATACATCTGTCCGCTAACCTGATTAGCGATGGTCATAAAACAGCTGCTTTTTAGTGTATTCATTTACGTCGCCACTGACTATTATAATCTACGTTCGTTGGCATCTCAAAAAAAGAAAAAGGATTTGATACGTCAAGGAAAAAACTCATATCGATATTGCGCGCGTATTAAGCGAATTCCGAGAAATTTAATTTGCATCGTTCTAACATTATTAATAATTAATTTGGCTAAAAGGAAAAGTCGTTAAGTAATAAAAAGTACACGTTTTTTACACTAAAACAAATAAATAGTAATAACTGCCTAACTTATAATTATATCACACAATTATTTTTGTATGTAAAAATAGAAAAACAAATTAACTGGAAAAATAAATATCATTATTGTTCTCTAGACAACAGCTCGTCGAGAGCGTTAACTTCACAACTCAATAAAACGACTTCCTTCCATTTGTCTCCACCTATAGCACTTATAGCCAGGGCTGGTCTAAGGTATTTTTCTGCTCTAGGCAAATATAATTTCGTTACCCCTTCAGTTTTTTTTTTTTTTTTTTTAAATAATTCCCATGTAAACCCGAGATACTCTCGTTTTAGTTATTTCGGATTTTTTTTTTCTAATTCATTTTAAATTAACTATAAAAACCTGTGATGTTCGCGGAATACTTATATCAGCCATTTACATGTTAAAATATTCAATACATTCTGTTGATTTGTAAGCTATTTTCAGGCATTTGACCTTTTCTAATTTGCTTAGTTTTTATTAAGTTTTATGTGAATGAAATCGTTATAAAATGATTTGACACGAGTGTTATTATAAATTGTACTTGGTGGCCAAAATAAAAAATGTGGCCTCTTATTTTATTTCTTATCGTTTTTACGTTCAAATTTTGACGAAAATCAGAAAAATGACGATATTTCAAAATATTTTTAACCAAACTTCACTCGGAATCGTATTTAGTAAGAAACGATTTTTTTTTTCTTTTCATATTTAAACGCTGCATTTTGGTACTTCGATATTTTTTGCATTCATATCCAAAACGTATGAACTGATCGATCTAATTCTTGGCGAAAATTATCAACGTTTATCTTATTGTACCTATAAAATGGAACATTTGAATATACCTAATATTATTGTCGGTTTGTTTACCGGGATGTGGCGCGGACCACCTGAATCGTGATTCTCACAACCTACGCATGTATCCGTAGAAACATGAATATCGTTCGCATCGATCAAACTGCAGTGTTTCTATAATAGCAGTACTTGCGATAGTTTTACCGTTTTGAATCGCGAACGAGTTTTTAATCGAATCGAATTAACCGACTGAGTGACGGCCGTTTGACGGGACGATGACAAGCTGTGGTAACGAACGGCTCTATTGTACAGGTTAGGTTAGGCGACCCTCGTTAGAATTGCTCGACGGGAGAGCAGCACTTGACCCGTGTGCGGGGCTCCGAAAAAGCCGATCATCTCTTTCCGGTAAATTTTTTATTTTAATTTCCGCGTACTTTCTCCTCGCCGTTTTTTTTCTGTTGTTATTATTATTTACCTCCATTTGATCGACAACCGAAAGCCGCGCCCGACCATTATTATAAACTGTCGTCGAAAATATTATTATTAATATAACATGTTGCTTGTCGGACCAACGCCACACACTTCTATCAACTGTTTTTTAAAATGTTTGTCTTTCGATATGATTCATGGGCAAAAAGGGTTTTATTAAACTTAACATTTAGTCCCTGACTTCTAGCATTCCCGGTATAATCAATAATGAGTTAACAGATTTTTGTTGTACAATAATAATAATATACCATATATATGGTATACTATATAAGTATGTTTTAAGTTAAGTAAGTAATTTTAACTGGATCGCGACATGTGAGGCAGGGAGATTTTCTTTTTTTTGATAAGAACTTTAGTGACTCGTTGTGTAACCATTATATCTATAATTATATCTACCATTATATCTATATAATATATCTACCATTATATCTATAACCGTGGGTATAACGGACTGGTCACAACTTTTAGTATACCGGTGATTTAATTTGGCGTCCTTTTTGTAATCATTATTATTTCTATTAAAACCGTTAGACATTATAGGTGGTGCTGAAAATCATTGGTTTACAGCCCTGGACGCTCGCACTTGTTTCGTACTTGGTGCCACTGATAAACTGTTCCAGGTTGGTCTCTTCAATCTTAATCCACAGATAAATCATACATGAAAAGCAGTATATATAATACAACTTTTAGCCTGACAGTAAAAATAAAAACGGATTATATCACTAATAAAATGAATTGTTCTTATTATGAACTTATAAACGACTCTTATCGGTACCTGCCTACCTGGAATAAATGACACAGTTACCTTACTCACTTGAGATAGCTAACTGTTTTAAAATGCATACCTAGGTTTTAATGATTTAATTAACACATACAAATATATGTAATATATTTCAACGGTTCCTCATATTGATAGCAGTCGTCAGTCACAGTTATTTTTTTTAATAGCAGTTAACAGTGAGAATTATTGCTAAAAATTACAGTGAGCCATTTATATTCTTTATATAGTAATTAAAGTAACTGTGTTTTTTATTCCAAATATAGGCATTTATTTTATTAGTGATATAAACCAATTTCGTTTTTTTTTACAGCCTAGTATTTTAAATAGGTATCTATAAAATTGTATTTTTTTCTTCGGAATAACCTATTTTGATTATTAGATATTTTCTGATTTTCAAACAATATAAGACATGCATAGGACCACTAGGTAGTTAATAAGTACATAGAAAGAACAGATAACAATATATTTATTAGAGGACAAATAGTTCTATAACTGTATAATATAAGTATATCATACAGAATAGTTCAATATAATTTCGAAAAATAATTTTGGACGACTCAACGTCAAAAAGTCAATCTCTTAAATGGTTATGATAATACTTATATACCCACTTTTAGTCATAATATAGATACCAAAACTCACACGGATAGCCATCTTTATACGAACAATAAATAATAATAATGGTAATGGGAAAACTATTCAAATTGTTTTTATTTTGGTACGTGGATATTTTATACCTGGACATTTTTTCCGTGGCCATTATTACCGACTGTACCGTATTTATACGCTAACAAAACAAGATATTAAAAATATTTAAGAAAATAGTAATTTTCTAAGCACGTATTAACATAAAAAAGTTGCATTATTTTCAACTGTAGATATTTCTTATAGTAATAATGGCTTTTGTTGAAAAAAAAAAAATAATAATAATAATAAATGAAAGTTTTTACGTTTAAGTTTTCATAGGATTCGTTTTTCTATATTGTTTTTAATATACAAAATGCTATGCATGACCGTGATATTATTTGTCATGATTTATTACTGTTTAGTGTATTTGAAAATGCACATTAATTAAACGCGTAGGAATAAAATAATAATTATTACGATAACATAAACAAACACTACCAGTGATATATTTACTATACAGTACTATATACAATAACACACAGCTATTTACCTCAATCAACTACCTCCGAAATATTTGCCTTTTATTAGTAAGTCGTCTACTCAAGTAAGGAGTTATCCCTAGCTATCGCGAAAGACACAGGTAAACCTAATCGAGAGAGTTCAATTGAGTCACTGTATCCGTATAACACGATATTTAATAATGACTTAATAACTTATGTAGTCATAAAATCAACACTTTTCAACAGTTAGGTAAGGTCAAGTCCAGTGGATAGGCATTTAGGCAAATTAGGTTAGGATAGGCAGAATTCAATACCCGACGGCGTCTGAAACAAGATTCCGGGTTTTTGAATTTTTACTTTTCGTATTTTAGTATTCAATGTTATTTTATAAACACAATTTTGCGGTTCATGGTATTTTAGAAATAAACATCTCTAAAACGTACCTGATTAAGTTGTACGGATGTTAAAAAGTGATGTTTAAAAGATGTTTTGTGAAAGACATTATTGTGACCGAAATACGGTCGCGGGGATGTTAAACGTACTTAAATGGAACGCAATTTGTGTTGTTACATGATTTAAAAGAACGTCTAAGTAACATTTCTTTAACAAATAATTGCACAGTGGGTGTATCACAACTATCTACAACCTCTGTATATTGACGTTTTGGGCGTTTAGTTTTGAATAATAAATACATTCTTTTTATAGTATTTTACGCACACGGTACATGTTTAAAAATCTTTGATATTATTATCCGAAATATATTACTACTATTTGCGCACGGTTCGTTTTATACAACGTGTGTATACATATAAATATTTTGCTCATTTTATTCTAGTATTCTCTGTTTATAACTGTACCTATAAACTCGATAAAGTATAATAATATACGATCAATTAAATGATAAGCGAGTATAACATCAATCCCGAGTGACTATAAATATATATATTTTTATATAAAAAAAGATGGCGGATAAAATACTTACTACGCAATGAAATGTGTAGCAAATGAACCGCATTCGCTGCATATGTTGAGCATATATTATACCTACTTCACAAAATCACTATATAACATAACCTTGTAAATATTATAGTGAAAAACCTCGGGCAAGTTTTATAATATAATATTATTTTGATTTACTCAAAATAGTAAGTTTTTCTACTTCGAGAACTGCGACGCACTGTTTAAAACGTTTTCCGTAGTAATTTGTGCAATTTATTTGTATTGTTATATTATCTTCATGCATAGTACTAGACGGGCTTTAAAAGCGTTTTTTCGATTGGTTTATTGGATTATAAAAGTCGATTACCCTTAAAACTAATATTATTTCATCATCATTGACAGTGTTCGTCGGAAGAAAAAACCTTATAGATTTTAAGCGTATAGTGAGGAATCTGTTAATGATTTTACTATAACGACATGTGCCTTTGTCTCCTGTCTATAAACAACTTTTCTATCAAAAATCTTGATCCGATCATCACTTCGGGGACGGTTTGTAATAGTAGCAGATTTTTCGCACTAAAGACGCACATAATTTGATTTCCCTTGTAGTTTTCTAAAAAATTGTGAAAACAAGACGATTTATAGCAATAAAAGTATAATTATTTTTGATTTTGTTTTTATGTTGAAATATTCATAAATAGGTACCTGAAGTTTTCAATAGATTGATCACATATTTCTGTAGACGAGGTACAATTTGTATAACTTTCTGACTTTTTCAGGTTATTTATAGCTATTTAAAATTGTCTGGTATTTTTTTATTTAGTTTTGTGTAGATAAAATGCTCGACAATTTGACACAAATTCATCACAAGTTGTACTTCGAAAGTAAAGAAATGTATTTTGAAGTACTCATCGAATGGAAAATTAGTAATTATTATCTTAGTTTTACCTGACTTCGCTCTGAATCGTTTTTCGTTGGCGATAAATTTAACGTAGTGTAAAAATGTAAATTAAATTACCCCTTATATCCATCTTCCCAACTTCTCACCTACATTAAATCGGCATACGCCAGTATCAGTTTTTATTATTATTATTATTTAACCTTTATATTTAAGTGGAATTTATACGAACAAAAAAAAAACAAAAAAAAAAATAATAACTGTTATACGAGTTGACGTTTGACTTTTAAGTTACACGTACAGTTACGATATTACGATTGTAAATTATGAAAAGACAAAAACGAAAAAAATAACCGACCTCTGGCTATACGCGCGGCCGTATAAAATATTCATTTACAGACACCCGGCCGTAATAATGACGGTAACGCTCTGGACATACGGTACGCGCACGAGCGTTACGTTATTCCGGTTATCGGCGAGTTTTACCCGACTAAATTCGTTATTATTAAATAAATAAATAGGGGGAAAAAAAATATACATATATTATACCCGTATCCGTGTCCGGACTCCGCTACACACGGTAATACCTCCGAGAGTGCCGGGTACAAACCGGACATCGGATTCGTTTTGTTTCGCGGTTAGGTGCCCGCCGCGTCACCCGAGCCCCGAGGACGCTCGCCGGAATAAAAACAACCTCGGGGAATAAAACATCGCAGATACGTCGGATCGGCGGCGGCGGCAATAACGGGAAAAAAAAACCCTGGGCGTTCGCGTATATAATATTCGACAACAACGTATTCGTATCATCATTATTTCATTATAACAACCCACACACCTTATCGCTACGAGATCCGTAGATAATACAGGACCTGTAACCCAGCGAAATTCCATTAATAACGCGCGGTACGCGGTACCCCCTAATGAGCGTCGTCGGTAAATGTATACGCGTGTAAGGACGGGATTTTTTTTATGGTTTTTTTTTTTTTTTTGTTTTTTCCCCCATAATAAGCCGTTTACTGAAATTTCACCGTTGGCCGTTGCGGGTTTGTTTTGTTTTGTTTTTTTTTTTAAATATTATATACGTATAATTTTTCACCGTACACCCGAATCCCGCTCCCACCACCACCGACCCCGGCCCCCGCACAAAACCGGTGTAATCAGCGGCGGAAAGAAAAATCCAGTGCGGTATATTATAATGCGTACGATATATTATTATGTACGTATATATACATATACATATATATATTTTTAATGTAGGGATTACAGAAAAAAAAAAAAAAACCACCGCCACACCGCCGTCGGGGATAATCCCCTGTCCGGTCGGGCCGGGCTCTCGATGTATATTTAATAATATATACCGGGCCGGCTTTCGGATCGAGCACGGGCGCGGACATATATTAATACTTAAATCTCCGGCGGCGGGAGGGAGCGAGCATTAACTTTTCCTTTTTTTTTTTTTTTTTTTTTTTTTTGTTTTTGTTTTTCTGGAAAAGTGCCGTCGTTCTGTTCGGCGATACCGTTTAAAATAATATACAATAATATTATTTCGTTCGCCGACCGAACGTATAGCGGCAGTAGCTGGTGTACAATGTACACGTATATACAATAAAAAAACAGCGATGAGATTTATCGTAAAAATGCAAATCAACGTGCGCCACTTCGGGGCTACGTGACGCTTGTTACACGGGTTTATTTTTTCACCCCCATCCCCTCCCCCCAATCCGTCTGTCGCGCGACGATTTAATTTGATTTACGCGCAGATTTTTTTTTTTTTTTGTTTGTTTCACACGTTACCGCTTCGGTATTTCGATTATTTTTTTTTTTACACGCATTATATACATATTACGTACGGAAACAAATTTTGATTTCGAAATAAACGACAGAAAATACTTCACGCCGTAATATTACATTAAAATATAGAACTATAATTAACACATTATGGAACTGAGTTTGAATTCACGGTGTTCCAGCAACGTAGTTTTTCGTAAAGATCGGTGTGTACGAGTAGGGATGCTGCGTTTAACACCGAAAACTCAACTGACCGTTATAATCTAAACGAGAGAAAAGATGACACCTGAGTATATTTATCGGTTTTACTGTGATGCGATTTTTTTCAGCCTGAAAAACTTATCTACCGGAATTCTTGCTCCGATCATCAACGAGTTTAGCATATTTGTCCGAAAGCAAATTTCGTCTAACTGCAGTCGTCCAATAATGAGGACTTTTGTTTTTATTTCTCTTGTATTTTTTCTTAACTAATGAGAAGCCCTTATAAAAATCGAAAAAATTAAGGCAAAAGCGGTAAGTTTTTCTTTGTTATTATTATGACTCGGTTATAAACAATTTAAACTCACGTGAAACTTTCGAGTTTTTTAAAATTTGTTTTGGTTTCTTAAAGATAAAATTGTTTTTACAGAAATGCTTGAAATTGAACACGAAATTCATCTAAGTTTTATTATTTTTTTAATAAATGTTTAAAGATCAAAATTTTACGAAAACTATAAAAATGTACATTTCAAGGCATATTTAATCGGACTACGCTCAGAACGGTTTTTCGTTAGCAACAATTTAGCGTTACGTAAAAATAGGTTAAATAGGTTTATACCTTTTATACTATTTCAACTTCCCACATACAAGAGTGGTACGCCTAACTGTCCGTAGTATATATTTTTTTTCACGTGTAGTTTCAAGTCATTGATGTATCGTCCGTTTTACAATTTGCAGTTGATACTTTAAACGCTTTTGGTGGTATTTTTTTATTGCTATTATTATTTAAGCCTATTTAAATGTAAATCAGGATATATACTTAAATTTTCCGGGAGAACGAATAATGTGAGATTGCCATCTAGAATAACCAAACAAAAAACGTCTTGCATTTGTTGGGCAACATACCAGAAATATATTAATAGATATGTGTATCGAAAAATGTGTATAAATAGAAAATAAGAAATTAAATTTAAACTTTTAGGATTCCAACACGGTAATATGCCTATGTTATTTTGACAGTATAACAATTAATTACAAATTATATATTCGATATTTTCGCTTTTTTGTTTTAAATTTTTTTAATCGGATCTATAGTAATGCCGAGTTTTGAAAAATAGGTATAATTTATTTATTCCCTAAATTGCAATCTGAGTAAAGTATTGATTATTGATAATCTTTATTTTTTAAAAAAAAGCCAACCTTGTTTCGCAGTTGAGTAGATCACTGTGGGTGAGAAGTTCGAAAGATAAAGAATAGAGGTAAGTTTTAATTGTATATATACGAAAGCTACGACAAATCGTTCAAATCCAAAATCGATTCTGAGCAGAGTAGTTTAATTAATTAATCATTTTCCCACTTGAAGCCAGAGAAACACTGCAGAAATCGATAGAATAAGACCAATTAATTAATCGATATTTTTAACAGATTTTTTTTTTTAATATTATAGAAAATCTGTCAGAAATTTAAAAGCGTTTTTAAAAAAAATACCTACCACAAGATAAAAAACACATATGTATAATGAGTACGACGTAAAAAATTGAAGTATTTATGGTATACTAACCCCAAAAAAATGTTTTCTAACAGAAAACATACACACACTTATCGTTAATAATACTAACATAGCTTTTTTGATGGTACATTCAGAATCTAAAGTCAAAAACTCCAAGTTTAATTATTTTCACAATATTTTTTTTTTTTCAATAATAACTTAAATCAACCGATTGATAAAATTCATTATTTCCTAGGCTTTGAGATATTGTACATATACATATGTATATATCACAAATTATAAATGACCGCCTATACTCACGAAAAGTAAACACAAAACCTCGGGTTTATTTAACTCCAGCTGATAGTATGTAAATATTCTACTTGCTGCAGCGATATTTGCGTACGCATTTGTTGACAGGTAAAATACCCATTTTCTTATATGTTACGGTGAAAAATGTATTTTGAAATAAAAGAAAAAAAACCAACGTTAAATACAAAGGTATTTTTCATTTCCATAAAGATGAAATCACTGACCTACTTGTAAGTATATTATTCAATGTACCTACATAATTACAGTTATTTCGTTTTGCTCAAATCGTGACGTCTATTTTTTACGTATAATATTGCGCTCGATTTACATTTTCGTATCGATCTTTTATAATATATACGCACACAAATGTAGAACACAACATTTAAAAAACCGGACATACTTCACTAAATTGGCAAGTCACTGCTGTAGTAGAGAATAAATTTGGAAGGTATAGACAATAGAGGGTGAACAATGTAGTGTACATTCCAAAAGCAACAATAAATCATGCAATAAAAAAAATTTTAAAAAAAAATTCTGAGCGTAGCTCGTTAAACTGAAAAGATTAAATTATCCGCCAAAGTGCCCGGGAAATCAATAAAAATAAAAACGTATATGTATCGTCATTAGTTAAGTGAGTTTTATTTAATTTTTTAGAAAAACTGATGGGAAGTTATGCACTACATTTCTTTTCCAAATAAAGTAGCAACTCTCCATCGTTTAATGAACAATATGAAAAAAAAATTCTGATCATTATTCCTGACCGAAAAACACTACGCTATAAATCTCTATGAATCTAAAAGAATAAAACAAACAAATATAATATAGTATGTTGATAACATTGTTAATATTTACTTTAACGAGACGTCTAAAATAAGATCTGTCTTTATTTTATTCTTTGTTTTTTCATATTAAATATAACTTATTTAAAGATAAAAACAACGATATTTCTTCAGCCTTTTTTAAAAAATTATGTCAATCGGAACACGTCAGAAATATATAAAAGCCTATAAAATCAACTTTTTGATTATTGGCTTATATAGTAGAAAATCCTGCACACTGAAACTTTTCACCGTCTAGTGTTTAATGGCATTGCGAAAAACGCATTGAAAATAATAATGCTATTATACGAAAATCGTATTAATATAGCTAGGTACCGGCCGGATTTCACTGGGATAAATTATTATATTCAAATTCTATCTCTCTCTCTCTTCTCTCGCTCTCTCGCTCTCTCTCTTTCACTCACCCACTCGCTCACTATAAATATAATTTTTTTATTTGGGATATTTAAAAAAAAATGAAAAATAAAAAAATATAATAATAAATAGTTTGTGATGTGAGGAGGTTAGATTATTTTATTATAATACTGATATATTATCGTAAACAAAAAAAATAAAAATAATAATAATAAATAAATAAACATTTAAAACGAACCCGCAAATGGATGGCGTTTAAAACCCCGCGAATATTATATATGCACGAACGGCGAGTTTAGGATTGCGGACCGAGATTTTTTTACCATAGGTATTTTGCCGATCAACAGTTTCGGTTTTTTGTTATTTATTCTAAGTATATTTATATATATACATATGTGTGTGTATACCTACTGTATACCACCCACCATAATTTATGCCGTTCATATTGTAAATCAAATTCACCCATCTCCCCCTCTCCGTGAACAATATTATATTGTATATATATTTTTTTTTTTAATGGGTATAGGTACCATATCCGAGTATCCGTATGTCCGCGATCAATACCATAACAACTATAATATTAAGTTGTTGTCGTTGCTGTATAGATTAAAGCAGGTACCTATATCAATAACAATAATATCGGCTATATAGGTAGTGTAATATTAGTTAATCGCCAATACATGTATATTATAAAACGTAATAAAATGTATTGATTATTTAAATTTCTAATTATATCTACTCTAGAATAATTAAAAATTTTTGACAACGAAAAACATTTCTGACCGTAGTTCGGTTAAACATATTTTGAAACGATTGGAAAATTTGATTTTCACGATTTTTGTTAAAACTTCAACTTCAATTGCTTATATATATATAAAAAAAAAAAACACTATATTTACATCAACTTTTTTTATCACAAAAAGCCAACCTCATTAAATTTAAAAACATTTCTTTAATAAACTTAAAAAACTTCAAAATGTCAAATGTCCAAAAATAGTTTAAAAATCGCTTGAATGTTATGAACATTTAACCACGTCTAAAGACTAATTTAAGTATTCTACGAAAATTATGGGTCTTTACGACATATTTTTAAACCGAATAACAACAAAAAAATTAAATCCATAATAATAAATACCATAAACTTTCATTTTTTCCCCAGTTATTATAAAAACTACGATTACTTGGAATATCAAACAAAAACCAAAATGCACTATCTAAATACAAATTCTAAAAAAAGCTTTATTGTAATTTTTTTATTGGAGCAAGATTCCCAACGTAATTATTCATTGGCATAAAAAAGAAAAAACGCATCAAGTAAAATTCCTTGTTACGTTTAGAAACTAAAATTGAAAATAATTTAACCATTATTACATTTGCAACCACTATACATTTTTCTGATTTTTTACGTTTTTCCCAATTATTAATAAATTTAATAAATTAAATTCTCAATATACCAACTTGATAATATTTTCTTTCAAAAAAATGCCCTCTATTTGAAAATCGCAATATTAAAACTAAAGCAATAAATAGATAAAAAAAAGAATACTTAAAAAAAAAGAAAAAAAGAAAGCACACGTAATTAAATAAAATAAATACAATATGTATAAGTATTATATTATATAAATCATAATTCACACACATGAATAATATCGTTATTAAATTTTGTGCTGTCAAAATTTAAGGCCCAACCGGGACTTACTACTGCCGAAAATCAAAATCTAAAAATAATGATAAAGACATTCGGTTTACGACATGATAGATGGGAAATTGAATTACACGGTCTACCCTGGGCGATTTTATCTTCTTTGATTGATTTACTATGTAGGTATCGAATACATACGGTTTCCGTGATAGAGCTTAAGGTAAAAAAACATTTGAAAGCCAAAATACCAAAGGATCTAGAATGATTACATTGAATTCAATTGACTTAAATGTTCGTATAACGTATAATGTAATATACACATATATATATATATATATATATACAGGGTGATTCACTTAGCGTGCTCCCTTCATTTATTTGGTTAAATTTTACATGTATTTAAATTCTGATTTTTGGAATTTTTAAGTGTAGGTAAAGTCGATATTTTCGAACACTTAGATTTTTCACAAAATTTAAGAAGTAATAAAATAATAAAGTAAGAACAAAATTATTAAAATGGTTAATAATATTCGTGAATAAATAAAATAAATAAATATATAAATAAAAAATGTATACATAAAAATAAAATTAATTAATTATTGAATACGTTTAAGAAGTATCATGTGGTGATACTAACTTTGGTTTTTCAAATGAGAACCTATTTTAAAAATTACATTAATAGGTAGAGTACAACCTGTACTGGGAATAGATAACCAATAATTCATCTAGATAAAGATAGAGATGACTGAACTAAATTTTATCTAAATAAATATCAGATGATTTAATGTTTATTTTTTAAAACATTCAGTGATACAGGCATTTGATAAAAAGGAAATACTATAAAACATTTGAAAATTAAACATAGGACATGAGTAGGTAGATGATAAATTTTTAAGTCATTATTTGACTTTTAATTTAAATTGTACTTGTAATTCTAAGAAACCGGTGTCAGCTATTGATAACCGTTGCCATACTGTGGAGGGTAGCAGGATTAGATGTTTTCGCTTTTGCCCATATTGTTAGTTGCTCTTGCAACATAACATTACATTAATTTATATTTATGGATATTATCATTGTTTACGGTATAAAACCACAGACTAATGAGCATTCAATATTGAAATACATGGTTAAATAATAAGTATGGTTCGGAAGTTGATGAATTTTGTAATTTTTTTTTAAAAAACTTCTTAGACGATGCTTTCTTAGTTGAAAATGTGTTTCAATAGTATGTGAATCTAAATAACTAATTTTTATTTACCGTCTTTTGCATTTTCTGGCTCTTTTTATTTTTACGTCATTTTTAGGTCATTTCAATAAATTTATATTTTTTTTTTACTAATTTATCACTAGTTTAAAGAAAAATTAACTAGTTTATGAAAAACTCTCTGTAAATTATATCCTAAATCTTATCTCATGTTTTAAGGTCATCAACTTCCGAGCCCTAATAATAAGTTTTACCAAATGTCTGTTTTCCGTGTAATAGAAAAAGGTAAATACCAATTAATCATATTTTTTTAACTTTTCAATTCTTTTTTTTTAGTCCGTTAAAATAAATTATCCAGACAAAATAAAAGATTAATCATTTTTATCTAGATAACTTATCTAGATACATTTTTATAGATATTTCCAAACACTGATCTAAATATTTCTCATTATTGTAATGAGTATTACTATAAATAAATGTCGGTGTTAAAATGTTTGATTTCCATCAACCCATTGATGAAATATTTCACTTTTAAGTTCAGATAGTGGTAGAGTAGTGAAGAACTAATAAAACGCCACGCGCCGTGCCGCACACACAAATGCTACTCCACAACTCTCCTTCTACCTAATTTTATTAAGATTATTATTATTATTATTATGACTATTATTTACATTAGTATCTGGCAGTAGCAAAGCATTGCCGGGTCAGCTAGTTATTTATACGGATGCAATCGCTTTACAAAAGGTTTTGAATTTAGTACATTAATACAACACAATTATACAACCAATTGGCTACATGTTCTAATAAACATAAAAATGCATAGGTTTGACTGTATAGTTGAACAAAAAAATATCGTTGAACTCTTATATATGACGTTTTCGTCTTTTTCAATAGGATTGATCGAGCGTTTATCTTAATTTTTTTTGTTTTTTACTCTTAATAATTAAAAACTCGATACTAAGTATGTTATACTCCGGTAAAATTTACAAAAAAAAAAAAATCGTCCAGCGGAGTACTACCGTCCTTATACCAGCGATTATCGACCCCGTGAAATAAGACCAGTGAGAGGAAACGGATATTAGGAGGGTCACTAATGAATAAATGACCTTTGGCCGAAATTTCTCGGGGGAATTTTGCTGGGAGGGGGTTAACATTCACTCGAGAAATTTTACCAGGGGGGGAGAGGGGGTTAAATACCACGAAGGCGAATTTCACGGTTACAAGTTTGGCTGTAACCATGATGGACAGGACTTATATTATTTTGCAATCCACAAAAAGTCGCTTTTAAGTTTAAAGCAATGAAATCGGTACATAAACTTCTTTCACCCGGGACGGAACGAATTTGAAAAAACGATTATTGGGACGGGGCTCAGATGCAGAAGTAAAAACGGGTTTGAAACCGGTTTTCGGGAAATCGGATAATCCGGAAAAAGTCGAAACCTTTTTTCGGAACCCGGAACCCGAAATTTCCGAATCCCGTTTCTACTTCCTGATCCATAGTCCATTAGGACAGGTATTGACAAGTATGACGTTCGTCAAAAGACGCGTTTTCCGTTGTCGCTCCTCGTTCCAACAATCGCGATAACAGAATATGCGTACTCATACGTCGTTTATAGATCGGTTCCATCGAGAACCTTTAATTATTGTAATGCGCGTTGTTGCAACGTTCGTCTGCATCCAAATTACATTATAGCTCGCGTATACCTGCCCACGTGGTCGCAGCGGAATATTATTCCATTATTCGGTTTCCGCGAAATTTCTCCTCGGGACCCACTGTACGCTCAACAAAACATTGTATAAGTTCGCGAATGCATTCCATTTAATTAAGTTTTCAAACAATATATCTAGACCTGTGTGCGTATATATATATATATTTGTGTGTGTGTGTATAACATATCGAATTTACCGGTATAATGTAGGTACATGTCATTTGCAACTTCAATCTTGCGGTTTTCTAATTTTCGGAAAGTAAATTATTATGTGACAACCGCCGCAGTTACTATTACATAACGCCAACGTTTTTCGGTTAGTAAACGCACGCCGCAAAGTATGTTGCGGTTGTTGTTGTTGTTAATATTATTATACCTATACCCGCGCACGCCGACAATCCGACGATACTGTTTTGAGGGGAAATAATTTATATAATAACGCGACGCGCCTTCTACGCATACAATAACACCGTTTCCGAAAACGCATCGTAACGACTGTCCGTTATAATACGGTTTTCGGGGGGGGGGACTACGCAATCGTGTCCGTAAATTGTTATTGTTAGATTGGTTTTACTTTGCTAAGACGTAAATCATATCGCCGCGATCAATACGAACAACACAATAAAACAACGTGCATCGTTAGGAACGCGCGCACGCTGTAACGGCCGCGTACGAATTCCGTCCCGGTCAAAAAAAAAAAGGGATACACCGGTTCCGTCCCTGGTGAAAAAAAAAGTACATACCAGTTTCGTCCCTAATAAAAATAACGTTTACTACAATATTGCTATATAATTAGCACGTTTTCATCAATTTGAACCAGCGTCATAATAATAATACTTTTGAAAAAATATTGTTTTTGTCACAAGGAAATTAATAGGAACCGAATACATTGAAAACCCACTTGACGGTCAACGTTTTACAACTTTAATAAATTATACGAAATTTAAACACGTACCACTTCCAGATTCTGAATGAATTGGACGAGGATCAAATGATAATGATGATGGATTGGTTTTACTACGATATGTATTTTTTTTTTTTATGTGAACACTTTCTACCGGAAAGCATGCTCCGATTGTTAAGTACAGCACCTTTTCTGAAAAGAAATGTTCTCTGGGTGGTACTTTTAAAAGTCCATTTTTTTTAAATTCTCATTAGTATTCGAGATAACCAGGAAAACCTGATTCTTTAGGTTAAAAAAGATTGCAAAATTAAAAATAAGGTTATTATTGCCAACCGTTTTTATTTATTTTTGTTATTATTAAGCTTTATTATTTTAAATCTTCTTTAAACAATCAGTGTTGTCATTGAAACCCATATTGTTGTAATCGTTTTACCGTAATATAACATAATATATATATATTTTTTTTTTTTGGCTTTTACGAGCCATTTAGGCTCTTTGCCGCCAAAACTACTTCCTTCCATCATATATTCATATCATCTATTGATGATCTATTCATTATATCTAGAAATGGACGATCATTATATTCTGAATGATCCCTTATTACAAACAATAATTACATCGGTTTGAATTAATTCTAATTTTAAATTAATTTTACGAACTAATAATAATAGTACGATGATGATAATTCGAAGAGCAAAATTAACAGGAGAGTTATAGATTGGTGGTACCTCTAGGTAGATTTTTTTTAATTTATACAGAGCACCTCAGTAATAGGTATATTATACACTAGTCATCGTGAGTATATTAATAACAATTCTTGAAAAAAAAAATCTACAGTCACACATAATACGAGTTGATAATCCGGCTACATGTTTGAATTGCATAAAAGTTATAACGCATTAATGATGGCCACAATATTATAATAATATATTGCTGTGGTACGAAACTTACGAGTATGCGAGTGCTAAAATGCTTATGCAGATAGTTAGGTTGAATGGCACACGAAAGAATACGTATATTCGCATATAATATATGTACCTAGATACGGTGCGTGTAGATTTTAAACTCAATAAGAGTTCCGAGTTGCCTCACGATTCTATACACAATCTTATGAGTGAAATATCATTTATTTCGTCCAAATAATATATTTTTACCGTTTATTAATTGAAAAATTTGGTTATCCATATTGTCCTTCGAGACATCGAAAATACTATTCATACAAATGAAGACAATAAATTGACTTAAATCGAAAAATAAAAGGCGTTCACGTGTATCAAATGGTTAAAAATCAGTGATAAAAATGTTCGAATAGTTAACACTATCGATAGTTTGAATGATCCATAGAATATTTCAAAAGAAAATATTTTTTTTTTTCTATGAGCGAATATTATTTTCATTTCAGAAAAACTATAAAATAAAAATAAAATAAAAAATTATCGAATATTTCGGAGAACTATTCGATTGGTTTTCTTTAGTGGCGATGTGAGTAACCACTCCCCTCCCTCCAATATAATCTTAGCTTGCTTTTCGTCACTTTAATAATCATATCTTGTCTATGATTAAACCCTGATTTTTTTTTTCTATGACCGAATAAAAACTATTCAAATAGTTCGATAATAACTGTTCAGTTCGGCTCATCACACTCGGTTTCCAGGCTCTCTATAAGGACCTTCTCATCTCACTCAATCCTCGTGTATCGCTCAATTACTTAGATAGGTTATAGTAATTTTAATAAATTCTAATCATATTGTTGTTTGTTTTGATTTTTGATCCACAATAATATTATATACGTAACGTAGGTATTTATTATATACCTGCCTCAAACTCCACGTAATTAACTATTATTTATGCAACTATCAAAATTGTTATTATTAAGCAACGTCAACGAAACAATATTAATTAATCTTTACTTAGTTCGATGGTATAGTTTTGCACGTCATAAATATTTGAAGAAGGTTACCTATATATTATACGCCTGCCTACCTACGCACCTAACGAATTTGTCAAACATTTTACTGTACATCAGCGAAAATAACTACCAATATTAAAAGCCGTACACGAATACACTCATATTGTTATTGTAACTTCTCAACACTTAATCAACGGTCTTACACATAATACTACACTAGCATTTATCGGTACATGACGTATAGTAAAAAGTAATTAAATTTAAATAATATTGATACACGGTTTTTAAAATACTTCTACCGGTATTTACGAACATGCGTGACTGGTGTATAGGAAATTGTTGTACGTGCCTACCGTTAACGACACAATATAAGCTAACGATATTTACTTAGCGTGTTATGTGTTATGAGACTTTGTCAAGTGTCTGTTCCTCGTCTTTATTCCATTATATTTCGGTATGAAATGGGTTTATTATAATACTATAGTTTGTTATATGCGATCGTGCGTTATAATAGTATATATATATATATATATATATGACGGTCATCCGGAAAGAAACGCCTGTTCGCGATTATAGGCCAGTAGGAAATCGTAGCGATAAAGTTGATAGCACTGCATTGAAGATCTTACAAAGAAAATGAACGGTACTATAACTCAAAGTAGCGTAAAAATTGTCCGAGTAGTGGCATTTATAAATGGTGACCACCACCATCACCACCGTCAATGATAAGTCCCAAACAACACCCGAAAAAAATCAGGCTATTAAAGTATAGTGTTATCTATTTTTGGCTGACTTTTTTGGAAGGTGGTCTAGAACATATTTATTTTCTTCCAATTTCTCTACTTCCCATCACTATCACATCATTATTCGAATGCATTCCTACCGCGTAAGAAGTGAAAAATAAGTTTCTGTGAAAATAGCAGGTCTTTTACGACTATTTTTAACCGAATTAAAACACAAAAATAAAACAAAATCAAAAATTATAATAGCGTAAATTTTCCCGTTTTTCTCGACTATTAAAAAAACTGCAAGGAGTATTAAAAACCTCCCCGCTCAATGAACCAACTAAACAAAATTTTCTATCGAAAATCATCGTTGAAATTGATTGTCGGAATAACATTTTTAGAAGAAAATATATTCACTGGTATGTACATAACGCGTGATATATAAACACATTATAATAAAACTGATTTATACAATTTGCTCAAAATTTAAATAAATACAAAAACCGTTAAAAACTTTGTTTCATTTTATTTTTTTAAATCGTCATTTTTTACGAAATCCTGGCTGCAGGGTTATTCCCAATATTATATACTGTTGACATTTTGTTTTCCAGACATTTCTATATAAAAACATTTCGGAAGTTTAAAATACAACTCGAATTATTCGCGGGTATATAATAACTCATACATGAACTATTAAACTACCTATAGACAATTTTGACATTTTCTTTGAATTTTTCGAAATATATATTTCGTTAGCGTGTTAACTGTGCGTTTCTGTATGATGGTATAAATATAATAAAACTGTCTTAAAAAATAAATAGATGGATTGAATTTTCCGAGACTATCGATTATTTGTTTATGTTTTATTTGGACACCTATGTTTCTAGTCTTTAAATAGGGTGAACTATCTTTCGTTATCACTTTTTGTCATCGACAACCTTCAAAAAAAAAAATGTATTCTCGTAAAAATACGACTGGCCATTCTTTAAGTCTAAAAAACATAAAAGTCATACTATTTCTTTTGAGCATTATCAAAATTACCAGATGTGAACTGTATAAACCTTTTTACTCCTTTCTCTTCATTTCGTTTATCTTTGTTGTTTCAAATACATTTTACTTGATTATATTTGAAATGTATACAAGAAAACAAAAAGACTTTTTTTTTCTTTAAAAAAAAAAATGTGAATTTTATATGCCTAATATATATTTGAAAATGGGAACTCGTAATACTGCACTTGAAAACAATTCGGGTAAATTGTATTTTAAAGGTTGTTTTACAGTTATATTTTTTTTAGATTCTGAGTGTAGCTATTTGTATAAGAGAGCTATTTGTTTTACTAAAATGTTTATTTATTTTTTCTCCTTCTTCTAGTCTGTGGACACGTTTTTTTCTAGTAAACTTGCTCCGATTTTTACGTGTAGCAATTTTTCTGAAAGTTCAAGTTGTCTAGATTGTACTTTAAACAAGTCATTTTTTGCTTTTCGACGGTATTTTTTAAATAAAAGTACTTATGTGGGAAAAAAACGTAAAATTTCACGTTTTTATTATTTTATAAAAAACCGGACGACATTTTCTATCGGAAAAATGATTTAATCGAAAAATCACCAAATACTTTTTTTTAAAATCATCGAACGACTCATTTTTTTTTTTTTTAATAAGCGTTTTGACATCAAATTTAAACGAAATGTATTTAAGAGAGATAATTTTTCGATTTTCTCAAGAGTTTTCCCAACAAATTTGAAAAACCGGGAAAAAACATTGGGAAACCGGGAAAAACATAGGAAAAACGGGAAAATCGGTACACTGTAAAATAAATATATTTTTATATTTAATACATTTATCACTCGAAAATATTACCTTATAATTGTACCGATTATCGTTGAATAACTCAGACTACAAGGGGTTATAATATAACTACTGCGTATCTACCGTAATATGGCAAACGTTAAAATTTAATATTAATACTATTAATATATAAAAAAAACGTCTGTCAACATCGGATCCTAAAATGTCGGCCCTCCGAGATTACAATAATTTTTGTCAGTTATTTTTGACACGTTTTGGTTTTATAATTTGTATTCCCTTTTGTCGAATTTTCTCCGAAAACAGAAACTTTCGCACTAGACCAAATGTCAACGGATCGGGTTGGGAGTAAATTTTGTATTAATTTCACAACCCTTGGAAAATGATTTTGGGTTAAAGTCTGATATTATTTGTTTTCTAATTTTTGAACATTTCTAGAATTTCCTTCTGGACAAAATCAGCTCTTTTTTTAAAAAAAAACTGCCTTTCCACTGAATTATCTTAAAATTCTTATTGACTCTAATAACTTTTTATATTCTCTTTATCTTAAATATATTTTTAGTCATTATCATTATATTTTATTTAGATATAATATGTTATATTTCACAATACTACATAAGATCATATAACAGGTAGATACGTATATAATTTAAAACTAAAATGTGTCTTGAATAATAACAAAAATCTGTTTTAAACGTTTAAAAACGCAGTAAGTATTTTTGATTTTTTTTTTTAATGATATTTTATATCAATAGAAGTTATAAATCGAATTTACATGGAAGTAGTAATAATATATATATATATAGGTAGGTGGCAAACATAATTCGCCCCGACGACACAATATTATTATAATTATTATCATAAACAACGATTACGGATGATCGCTATTCTGGCAACCAATAGCTGGTCTATACCATGTACCTGGTACATGCATAATATTATTATTATTATTATTACATACCCTTCAGCAATTTATGATGTAACATACGCTTTCAATATAATTATTGGCAATAGCACGATGGTGATTATAATAATAATAATAATGTTTGTCGATCTCATATTAGGTTATAATAGTATATGATACAATAATAAAACATTATACGAAACTCGAGCTCGTATTATACATTAAATATTATAGGGCGTCAATCTGCCTATCAATAATATTATATTAAATTAATATTGTGGGTTGTACAACACGGAATCAACTTGATGTTGAAAAAGAATGAAATGAATCTATAATAATTATTTAAACATAATTGTCTTAAAATTTTGCTTAGGAATAAGAATATTAATATTAGCTAGGTATATACTGACCCTTTTTGCCGTGTTCCAATAGTATGAATTCGGAGCCTTCTTTGCGCCACGTGATATTCGGCGTCGGCGATCCCGAAGCCGCACATCTCAACGACACGTTACTGCGTTCCGTGATACTCATATCCGTACTCGTCGGATAGTCCAAGATGTCAGGAGGAACTGGAAAAAAAAATAGAAATAATTATTATTAGGCCGACATTTATAAGTCTAAAACCGTATTAAACAGATACATACTATGTATACAGTTATGCCCTAAAATTACTAAAATATGTTCTAGAAATTAAAAAAAAAAATAACGAATAAAATAAAATCAATTTAGTAAACCTATACCATGTTCCGTATGAAATGTACAGATTAGAAGAAGCACAATTTTGTTAACACATTGGAAAACCAATATAAATGGATGACAACCAAACGAAACAAACAAAAAATGNGTAAGCATAGATCTTAATTTTTTGAGTTAGAAATGTGTGAAAAATAATACAAACTCTTAAAATATGTTCTAAAAATATCAAAATATGCCAAATAAAATCGTATTATGTATATGCCAACCGGCCATCTAATACGTAATTGAAGGTCTACAATAATCTTTGAAAAACCAAGTTCTTTATTGAACATTTACACATTTATACATTTATTATCAATTATAAAGTATAACCAAATGAATTGTTTGGGAAACTATACAATTTGTGTTGCGATTAAAAATGCTTAATTTGTATATACCTATATTTAATTTGATTGAAAATTAGCTCGGTTCTATGAGTTCGCATAGAGGGGGGGGGAGGTAATAAAAACGGCTCTCCATTACGAATCGTTTAAGTAAAGTCATATATTGTATCGTTTTGACCTATATAACCAAGTGTGTTAACCTAATCCGACAAAAGTGTCAGCAGCGATAGTTTATTGTAAGCGAAAACGATTGAAAACGTCTCGTCGATTTGGCGGGAAACGAGCGAATGACGCGGTTGGATGACGATGACGACAAAGGAACAATCGACTTTGAAAATTTCTCTTTGTTGTCCGTCGTCGTCGGAACCGTTTAAAGTGGCGGCGGCCGGCCGCCGCCAAAAGGCCTACATAAATTGACTTCGGGGCCGCGTTTACTTACGACTGTTGTCGTAAGTAAGTATATATAGATTGTGTAGACTTGTAGGTAGGCAGATCGCTTTGCCGAACGAGGCGTCGTCAGTGGATATTTACATTCTTAAACATATATACCAACCGGGGGTCAAATGTTTGCCCTAATAGACGGTGTCACTTCTGGACGGAGTGACTTTTGCGATATTATACAGGTGAATTTCTATAGACGACCGAAACCAATTTTTATTAAATAATCCTTATCGTCGTCGTCGTCGAACCATCGTTCGTTACAATAGAGAAAACAGCTATTGCACGTATACACACTGTAAAGCCACCGGTAGTCCGTTCAAACAGTTTATTTAGTTTCCTCTCTCTCTATATATATATAGATATATGTATATATGTTATATTTATATACAGTATATATTATATTCTCCAGCCAAAGTCGACTTTGCGAGATTCATTAAATCTTTTGTTGCGTATAAACACCCGCCCTGCTAGCTATAACGCAGCGGGAGAGGACAAATCGCTGCATCGTCATTGCGTTCGTGTATATGTGTGTGTGCGTGTGTGTGCGTGTGTGTGTAAGGGAAAAAGTTTCTCCGCAAGTGTATAATGACAAACCCTCCAACGTGGCGGCGGCGGTAGCAAACTGATAAATTGACTTTGGCGACTTTTTTTTTTCCATTCTTTTCGTCGTCGTAGAGCTTCGTATCTCTCGAAAAGGTCCCCCGCGACCGTTGTTCCGTCACCAAAGGCTTGCGGCCACCCCAACCTATAATATCGTCGGGCAAACGTTTACTTTGCTTTTCTCCGCCAAACTTGTCACTCAAGAACCTCCTTCAGTGACGCGTATAATTCGATTTTTATTTATATTTTATTATATTATACATACCTATATTATATAATACGTATAAAATCGCGAAGTACTTTTTATCCGATTACTTACGAAAAACTGAACTCGATACTACCGCAACGCCGCCGTTGCTACAATACAGTTTAATGCCTCTCTGCGTCTTGTATATATATATTTGTTTTCCTGCAGCGTTTATTTCGTATAATAATTACGTGGTTATTTTCAAATCAAAAAGCTTTTGAAAGGCTTTATTTGAACCTAATATATAATAAATCTCATACGTTAAACGGCGGTTATATTTTTATAATCGACCATTTTGTTTTGTCCTATTCAATACATACAAAATGTCTACATTTATTGTTATTTTCAATAAGACCATGTATGGGTCTTTATTGCAAGTATAGCACTTTTTCTGAAAGAAAGATTTCTCTGGGTAGTACTTCGTTTAAAAGGCCATTTTTTTTTAATATTCGAGATAATGAGGAAAACCTGGTTATTAGGTTAAAAAAGATTGCAAAATTAAAAATAAAGTTGTTATTGCTAACTGTTTTTATTTATTTTTGTAATTATTAAGTTTTATTATTTTAAATCTTTCTTAAACAATCATTGTAGTCATTGAAACCCCTATTGGTGTAATAATTTTACTGTAATATGACAATATATATTGTTGACAAAGCAACACTATCAACTAAACTCCGCTCAAAATCGTTTTTTTTTTTTGTTAACAATGGTTATCATTGTATACAGATATACATTTAATTCTCGTCTGTTTCCTATTTTCCCAACTTCCCACCTGCAAAAGTGGCTGCACCGACGTACGAAGTATGTCAATCTTTTTTTTAAATTAATATTTATCCACATAAAACCAAAAATAACAACTACAAACAATTCGAAAAACTTTAATATCTATAGATAAATCAAAAAACATCAAAATGTTTGTAAAATTATACCACTTCTAGAAAGTGCTTACATTAATATTCGGTAAAAATTGCAATTCCTTACGACTTTTTTATTTTGAGTGAAGTGGGAAATATATGATATATATGATATATATGATGTGTTTTTTTTTTTTTTTTGGTGTCTCTGTAAATAAATAAAAAGAACATTTACACTAGAACTTTTTCTCCAATCATGAAACTTTATAGAAATTTCATATGATAGATCATACTAGATCATTTTTGATTTAGTTGGTACATTCAGGAGATCAATTTATGATTTTCCTTATAGTTTTCCTAATAAATGGAAACAAACTGGCAATTTGTTGTTGATTTTTGAATTACCTTAGAAACAACAGAAGAAAAATAAATTTTTAATACTTCACTAAGAATAGTTTTTCGTTAGCAATGATACATCATTAAAGCGTACAAAAAAAAAAAAAAAGCAAAATCGAAATCTATATAAATATGGTTTATATACACGGAATAAGAGTAACATTTTGGAAACGCTGTAAAAATTAGATTGATTCCAAACGATTCTATATGATTAGAAAAAAAAAAATCAATAATATTGAATTCACTCAATTTATTCCCATTATATATAGAGAGAGATAGAGGGGGATAAAATAATCACCCTGTATACTATAGGTCGATTATTGTATGCCAGGATCGTGGCCGGTGAACCGTTCTAAATGAATAAACGATAATATTAAATATTATTATTATAATATAGGTACCTTTATTGCGCAGTGTGTGTTCGCCCACGCCAGTTATACGAGTCGTAATTAAGCCACACGACTGCCGGTGCATAAACTCTTGACAGGCTGCCGCGGTCGCGGAGAGTGGAGTGGATTATATTGGGTAGCCCCCTCCTCCGTGCTGCACTGTCCCGGCGTTGTGTACACTCGAACCGGGTACGGTGTACGCGCGCGAGTCTACCAATAAGATGCAAATGAGGAGCACACACTGCGGTTGTCCGTAAACACAACCCTACGATTACCGTCCTTACCACCTCACGAGTGCCGAAGTATTATTATTGCTGTTAGGTACCCATACCAACCAATAGCGGCTGAGAATATTGGCTTTTAAGGGTTCTTCGATCTGTGGATATCGCTCATCTTCAATAGTATACTCGTGCTTCGCTATCTTGCCAATGTGAGACGGTTTATATACATGATACTACATAATTTAATAATTTTAGACATGAGATAATTATTCGGATGTTTGGAAATATCTGCTCCGAAAAATCGAAAACATCTTTAGATTTATTATGAAAGTGAATGGCATTTCAATGTACTTTGCATTGTTTTCCAAAGTTTGCTGTGAGATTTTCATTTTGTTTTGCCTATTTTTGAATGATGCTAATATGTTTGACAATATTTGACTTTAAATTTATTTTTTTCATTTTTTAGTGGATTGTACTTTTGAGGTTTTACACGCAATACATTCCCAGCCTTTGTAGTGAAAAATCCCATCAGACACAAATTCGAAATTCTAAAATCCATATCGACTCAGTCCAGATTTTGAAATCCCAGAATTTATCGCACTCCTTGGGATACGCATACATAGAGTTCTAATATTTTATGAAACTTATATTTTTGAAAATTTCATTTAAGTCATGACGTCTTTCATTTTGATGGAAAATAAACACAATTTATTTTTAAATTTAAATTTCAAACGGTAACTACGGTGGTAGTGTTACTCTTTACTTAAGACACTCAATGGTATTTAATTGCCCGTAGCTTTTTAAAAATTAATTTAACAGCAAATTAAAAACATTTACAATAATCTGAACAAATTAGTTTTGATTTTTGACATTGTATGGATATTCATTATTACGACACAAGGCCAATTCGAATGATGAATGCCATATTTAAAGTTCAAAATGAATCCAATACTATAATATTAATCGGTTATTATGACTTTACGAAATATGATACAAAATCAAATCAAGAAACAATTAATATTTAGAAGAAGAAAAAATTGTATTTTTCGATATTTCAAGCAGTATGAAATTGTTTCTACTCGTAACCCTACGTGTATATTACAGTATACTATTACTACGGAGGTACCATAATGTATGCAAAAACCAATTATAATACGGCTGGCGTGAGCAACAAGTGGCCGCGTCGTCCGCCAATGGAACTATAAAACAACGTCGACGGAAAACGGAAATAATTTTGAACATAATAATTTTTTGGGCGACCGGTTGAACGGAACAGCGCCGAGAACATAACGTCATGAATTACGTAATCTTATAAGGTATGTCGCATAACAGAAATCGTTTAATCGGATTTTTGCAGTAACTTAACACACGACTCAACCTAACCTTTGAGCCCACCGTGTAAAATTTCGATGGACCAATTTTTCTGATCGTAGCTAATAGTGAAATTTGACCACAGGAGTGGGAAAATTCAAACCAGTGTAGAATAAGGGTAAAATTTTACCCTTGGGTTATCAAAGTAAAATTATCTTGGAGATAATCTAGATCACGGCATGCTATCGTTTATCAATACATACAACAAATATATCACGATTTTCTTAAATAATTAAAGTGAATACAAAGTCACAAAGATAACAGTTACTTGATAAATTATAATATTTTTTCTCACATTTGTTTTTTTTTCTGACCTTACTGTAACTTTGTTAATTCATAAAATATGTGTCCCAATTATGTCTTGGGCTACACAAATTTCATATTCAAACCTGAATTACCTATACCTTCTTTTATGAATTGTCTTAATATACTATCAAAATAAAAAGCTATATCTATACAAATTATTATTAAAACTACCTTGTTAACTATAGTAGATAATACAACATTTAGAAAAAGTAGAGGACTTTCCTATTATGAAGTACCTATTTGGTCAATGTTCTGAATTATTCGTATAAATTTCCATTGGGCTATTTTCTTTATTTTTATTTTTCGTTTATTTGTTTCATAAGTTAATTGTTTTCAATAATTGTATACCTCTACTCAATTATGATTTTTTATACATGTAAATTTGTCTATAATATTCATTATATTTCAACAACACGTATTCTAAAACGCTTTCTTTTCTTCAGCAGGTACGATGGAAATGTGCATAGGGAAAACTCGTCGCTGACGGTAAATCACGTCGGTTTATTACTATAACGTATATAACCCTGAAACGCACGACATTTTCGAGGTAACAAAAGCCCGACGACAATATACTGCGTTATTAAACGGCGAAAGGCCGAGTGGCACGCACCACAAAGGCCGATGATCTCGGTTGAAAAACGACAGCGCATTTATTTACCGTCGATTATTATTGTTATCAACTAGGTAGATATACCTATGTCACTCGTTGTATTCATACTATAGTATACAGTCAAAACCGTATTGTAACCAACTCACAATAAAGTAATTTTAATATTTAAGGTTTCACTGTTATTTTTTTATAATTATTAAATTGTTTAAGAGGAACCGTAGGTGTTAATATTAAATAGATGAATAAGTCGAGGAAACGTTAAAAAAATACAGAATAAGAACACAGATATATATAATGACGTACGAAACATCTATACAAATAAATTAAATATCATGTAATACTGAAAAGCATAATATTTACCTGATAAGCAAAACAACGGACTGAAGATGATCTAGAAGTATTATTAAAAAAAAAATAACTATTATAAACTGAAAAGGCAGGATGATAGAACGATAACGTTAGATAACTATAGAACTGGACAAAATCTGGAGAAAAGTGCACTAACAAGGATTTAGAATAGAGGAAATGGTGAAGATAGGGAAATACAGAAGATAACTTATTAAAGTCATTGAAGTTCCTCAATAAGTCGAAGAACATTAAAAGAAGAAGGCAGATTTTTGCATGAAACAGTAAAAATAAAACCAGTCAAAAAAAAAAAAAAAAAAAATACGTATAAAAAAAAAGATTTACAAAAAAATTGTACAACTGATCGTGAATGCTGTTACCATCAATCACCAATAATTAGGAAAATGGTAAGGTTTGGCACTTATGAATTCAGATCCTGTCTATCCACAAATTTTTTGATTTTTGTTTTTACAACACAATGATGATTCCTTTGACCTTTGAATAACTTACGAGAATTTTTTGGTATTGTATAATCGATGGAGGGCATACGACCGATAGAATTACCTACACATCACTTAACGACGTACTTATATACACAGTTGTTATTATTATTTAGTACAGTACAGAAGTATTTTATTTCATTAATAACCGTAAAGGTATAGACATACGTAGTCATGTAAATAATAAATACTAGAAAAATATCAAAGGGGATTATCTCCCTGATCCCATCTCTCAAATACTGTCTACAATTGTAAAATTTGTTACTTACCTAACTAATCATGTACAAGTATCAGATAAAATAAAACGCTGTCGCACAAATTACACGCCATCTACTATACTCTCCCTTTATATCGGGTCACTTCCTCGTCTGCCGTAACTTCCCCGTAACCACTTTTCCGTAAGGCATTTCTCCGTTCACTACGTTTCCTCGTTCATATTATATTTATATCATCTTGATAATAAAGAATAATAAAATTAATTTAAAAAAATATAAAACAATTTAATCTATAGATCACGTAAATATAATATATACAGAGTGATTCTCTACAAGCGTAATCACCCCATTCTTTTGATTAAATTTTGCATATATTTAAATTCTGTTTTTTGGAATTTTTAAGCGTATTGAAAGCCGATATTTTTGAATAGATTTTTAGATTCTTAGATTTTTTCACGACATTTAACGTGTATCCCGTGGTTATATCAACTTTGTTTTTTAAAATAAGAACCTAGACTAAAAATTCCATAAATAGACGGATTGTAAATTTTGATTTCAACATTTTTGATTTCCGTCTACCCGTTAACGAGATATTCCACTTTTAGATTAAGGAAACGGAGAGCAAAGGAGTATCATTTATGTGACGGCACGGCACGCGGCATTTTATTAGTGCTACACTACTCTTCCCCTACCTATATTTAAAAGTGGAATAACGGGTAGACAGTAATCAAAAATGTTGACACCAAAATCTATTTCAAGTAATAACGAAAAATATGTAAAAATAAATATTTTGTTGGAAAAACATTGAAACCAATTTAATGCAGCGTAATGAGCAGGGAAATATCGAGATGTTGACGTATATAAAATATTATGTCCATATAGTATGACGAACGTGATCTAGAGGAGTACTTAATTGAAGTATTTTTTTATTATTTAATGTTATTGTACATGTTATAATTATGTGATCTAAGTATAGATTCGATTTTTTTTATATTTTATTAAATGCATTATATTATCCTTAAAAGATACTATAAATATAATATGGACGGGGAATTGTCTTACAGGGAAGTGTCTATGAATTCTTTCCCTTTATCGATAAAACGACAAACTTAAAATTGGAATATCTCGTCAGTCGTCAATCAACAGCTAGACGGAAATTACAAATCTTAACACAAAAATGCATCCTAACTATAATTTCATCTATTTAAAATAATTTTAAAATAGGTTAAAATCTGATAATGAAAATTTCGTAGTGATTATGTTCCAATCCTTAACCTATAGCTGACAATAAATAAGAAAATTTCAGAAAGGACTGGATATACAGCATTCATTAATATAAGAAAATTAAAAAAAAATGTGTGTACAGTCGGTATTTAAAATCGAGCCAGTATGGCGTACTCTCCTCCCTTAATTGAAAAGCACCGATAATTAAACGAACACAATTGAAAATTAAACTCTCATTATGATTATTTCACGGGCGGAAGGCGAACGTGCAATCGCTGAGTCATCACGTATTCGTCAACATCGTTTGAACATTGATACGTCACGATAAACGTAAACGGTACCTACACTAGGTAGAATAAAGTCGACTAAGATAATTTTGACGAGCACCGAGATTCGTTGGAGGCTGTTATAATTTGATGTAATTTCACAAACGAATATAATATATGAATATTATGAAAGGAAGGACGGAAACCCGAAAATAAGATACGTGCAGCGGTTGAGAGTACTGCCACGGGATAATAAAGTGTGCGTAGATGATTTGGAAAAACTTTTCAAGTGGAGACGCCAAGGTTAGATCAGAATAGAAGAACATCATGTATGATATAGTCGATATACATACCTGTGTGTACAACATATTACACTAACGCAATGATCTCCAACCTACGGCCCGCAGCCGGTTCCAGCTAATTATGCTTTTCAAACCGGCCCACCACCAAGTTAACTGATGTTTAGACAATATTATTTATTTATCAATAGTATTTCCTACTAAAAGATAAAAAAAAAAAAATAAAAGATTTTTCGTTAGTTGTTCTTAATAACAAAAAATAGTAAAAAACCCAATCGATTGCGTTATCGTTTTTACGGTGGCAATCGTTAATCGAAAATCGTTCTATCTGCATACTCCCAGGTATCAAAGCTTTTAAATTAATATTGACTATAATCACAAAAAAACTATTAGAAAAAAAATGTGTACATTTTCCTGCGTGCAACAAATTTAAACTTGAAAATTAAGAAGAATTCGCTACTGATTTTGCTGTTGGAGTTTTCACCTATTTGAATGAGCAGTTCCAAACCCTCTTTAGAGGTTTCGAAAGTGCAGAAGACCGTATTGCGATTTGCCATAGAAATGGGAACTTTACCAACGGAGCTTCAGCTAGAAATTGCCGAGCTCGCATCAAATAACCATTTCAAAAACTATTTCAAGGAAATTACACTCCAACAACTTTATGTCACATTGCCAGAGGAGTCTTTTCCAAATCTGAAAAAATATACACGTGAAATGATTTCAAAATTTAGCTCCACTTACTCATGCGAATAGACGTTTTCAAAAATGAAATACGCCTTTAATCTAAATATAGAGCCAAACTTAAGTGATGGATATTTACAAACGACGCAGTTGATTGAAACAAGAAAGTTTGATACAAACTGTCAAGAAGTTTTAAAAGACAAGCAATTCCAAACATCTCATTAAGTAACTTACTCGTATCACAAAAAAACAATTTTCGAATTATAAAAATAAATATAAATATACATTTTTCTAAAATCTAAATGAATTGTGTCTATTTGTATCTATATTCTTCAATTTCATTATCTCTATGGTCCTCTGAAAACAATTGGCCCGCGACGCCGAAGCGTATCTCAGAATTGACCCGCCGTAAAAAAACTTTAGAGACCCCCTGTACTAACGCAATCAAATTCAATGACGTCACTCACCGACGATGTCTAAGAAACCCAGTTGACTTTTCATCGGGTCCGTGTTGATCTGGCACATGTACCATCCGCGATCCGACTCCCTCAACTCCTTGATGTGTATGTGCCACGTTCTGTGATCCGAATGCGACACGCCGATCCGGTGGTTTTTCGTGATGACGTGATTATGAATGGTCAGTATCGTTTGCGTGTCCACGCGCAGCCAGGCCACCTAAACGGTAAAAACGGACGATTGAAAACAAAAAAAAAAAAACCAAAAAAACAAATAAATAAATAAAACGAGATTTTACGCGGGGCCGACGGTGTCGCGTCGAGGCGATGCGCGACCGGACGCGGATCGCCTATCGCGTGACGTAAGCGATATTTTCGATAAATAGAACACGCGGGGCGGCCGTACGGCGGTATGGCGGAGGGGAGGGAGAACGGGCGATATATATTGTCGGCTCCGCGGCCCCGCGCGTGAATAATGCTTATGATGCAGGCACTCGTCCCTGACGACGACGACGACGACGAGCCCGAGAGGTCGTAACCGTCAGTCGAACATTATGCGCCCACAATGGGGCCGTCCTCTGATTAATAGCGCGGTATACCCGTTCGCGGCGCTTAAGCGCATAATATGGTACACAGGTACGCGCGCCCCGCGCGCGACAATGCCCCCGTGGCCCGTACGTGCGCGCACGCTCGCCGGATCCGTCAAAGAAAGTCCTACGACGGCGGTAAAACGGCGCGGACCGTGCGACGGCGGGGGGGCATTAGCGGGTGATTTATGCGTACGGCCGCGCGACGTGCACGACACCGAAAACCGAAACCGGCGACTTTTGATCCGTGACGAATCGTCGACGGCGCGCGATTCTCGTTGTTGTCGTCGTTGTCGTCGTTGTTATTATTACGGCCTGCATGTATCGCGCCGTATGGGGCCGCACGAGCCGCCGCCGCCGCCGCCGCGCTTGAGAATAGAGCGTCGCGTTATAATATCGCGTGCGGGTTAGATTGCCGGTACGCGGGTTATTGTGGTCCGACGGCGTTCTGATGCGTTTGAACCGCGGCGACGATAATTTATTATCGGAGACCGCCGTCGCCGCCGCCGCCGCGAAATCGTAATAACGTATGTATTATGTTATTATTCCGTTGACTCGTCGCGAAAAGTCACGTTTCGGCGTTTCGCGACGAAAAAGGAAAACCCCGCCGTTATTTGTTTACACTTTGTGAAACGCACAGCGCGGAAAAAAATACACGTCCTAAAGTGGATTATCCAGGCATATCTTTTCGTGAAACGAATGTTGTACAGAGTATGATTTATGTATTTATTTATTTAATACAATATATATATATATATACATATATTAAGTTAGGTATATATTATTATTGTTTTAAAAGTTCATAGAAGTTCATAGAGTTTATAAACTTGATCGGTTATGATAAAAAAAAAAAATAATAATAATAATAATAATAATAAAATAGAATCAACATCCGGTCGTAAATCAATTAGTTTTAGAAACTGCAGAATTTATTACCTATCTATAGAATAAGCAAAGCTGAAATCCCAGAATAATATTGTATTATGATAGATGAACGATTGTGAAAAACTCGAGACTGTATTATAGACATTGCCACCCCGAATTTTCTAAATAACCACATTTTACACCTTATATACAATACCTTGTAATATTTTCCATTATTTTATACGGGTTCGCGCGTAAAAATAGGACAAGGGGATCGGTATGCGATCACATTTCACAAAGAGCCTAAATTTTTTTGGGAGAGCTCAACGCCTTAAAATATTGATTGTGTATACTAAACATAGTACATACAGTGCGGTATTTAATGAGTTTTAAGGGACTAAGTCCCATTATTTTCGGCTAAATACTATTTTTATTTTTAAAACTAGTACAAGGCACGCGGGGCCGAATGACGTTTGTACAGATTTATCGGTGGTTACCAGCTATTAAACCTAACTATTATAAAATAGAAATTTAGTGATAATCGTTCTTTACAAAAATCACTGACATATTCTACTCCGAGGCAATGCCTTTCGTTATCAACTTTTAATGTTTGTGTGAATAAGGTTTTTTGAGTTTTCTCAAAAGAAAATAAAATCAACCAAAGTGTATCGGCTGGGCATAAGTGACGACACGCAAAAACAGCGAAAATATATTCCTCAAGGCTGTCGGTGTAAACAAGGAAAAAAATAAAATTTACAACATGTGTGTAGCTCTAAGTAACGACCAACAGTATCCACCCGAAATTTCAAACCTTGTTAGGGAATGCCGAGCTTAAAAATCACATTAAATCATCAATTTTACCATAATTAAAACAAAAAAGACTAATTATTTGATAAATCATAGAAAATAATTATCCATGTTTATAAGCAATACAACAAAAACACTCGAATCAACGTAGTTGAAAATGTGATTTTTAAGCTCGGCATTCCCTAACAAGGTTTGAAATTTCGGGTGGATACTGTTGGTCGTTACTTAGAGCTACACACATGTTGTAAATTTTATTTTTTTCCTTGTTTACACCGACAGATCACATTAAATCATCAATTTTACCATAATTAAAATAAAAAAGACTAATTATTTGATAAATCATAGAAAATAATTATCCTTGTTTATAAGCAATACAACAAAACCACTCGAATCAACGTAGTTCGCTACCTATTGAAAGTCCCCTAAGTGGTCGGTAGTCTCAAAGAGATTGTGAACCACGGATGTAGGTACTATAGATATATTATAATATACTGATGCGTGGTGTAATATTATAGTTTTTCTCGAGAAACCGAAAAAATCATAAACAACGTGGCACAGCGTGTTTAGAGCAATTTCGTTGAAAAAATATTGGATTTTACAATTATTTTTTTATGTATTTTGGTGGCCAACGAAATAACTATGTACACAACTCCGTATCTTCCTATCTGTATATACATACTTAAATACTTCAATAATAAATAATAATATATTATTCTTTCAATCTTTAAAGTCTGTGTATAATGTCATTCGGGTCATGGCCAACTAGTCCGCGAAAACGACCGCGAATCGTGTAGGATTTATTTAATGTTATATTATATTATGGTTATTATAGAACATCGGGAAAATAAAGAAGGAAAAAATGCTAGTTACATAACATAAAAAAGGCTTTTACTCGGTAAATAAATCATATTATTATAAAAGTTTGGTTTCACCTAAACTTTAATAAAGTAACCTGCATATAAGTTACACATAGGTAAGGTGTGCACAATACAATAGAAATTTAAACGATAAATGTATACCAATAACATAATTGCGTGTAATATAAATTTAAATTTAGTGGATAAATCTAACTACTACAATAATATCGTCTCTTAAAATATCACACATGATACAAATCTTATGTTTTGGCCACCTAACCTTGACAGCACTTATTTCTTATTTAAAATTTTAGGGGGATCGTTTAGTTAACTCATCCGTTAGCGATAAATTATAGTTGCGAATAAACCAGGTGTATGATTCTACAGAAGAAATGTTGAACAAAATTATGTATCGGGTGTTGAATTTTAAGTTGCAAATAGGTAGGTATAATATTATTATCTGTATGATTTTATTGGTTATACTAAGATGTTTTTTTTTTTTAAATATATATACTGTATACAAAAATTCTACCATAAATCTTACTGCAAAGTATAGCACCTTTTCTGAAAGAGAATTTACCGGGGTGGTACTTTGGGGAGATCATTTTTTTGATTTTCCCAGGGGTTTTCAATTTTCATAATAATAATGAGAAAAAATGATAGGAAAATGGAACATTTTACGAAAATAATGTTTTTCAATTTTGTTTTTTTATTGTAATTCAGTGAAAAATATTCGTAGAGACTTGAAATTTGATAGAAACATTTGAGCCATTTTTAAACTATTTGACTTTTAATTGACAAATGCTGATAATCAGATGAACTTAAATATTATATATATATATATATTGTATAATTAATATAACGGGAAAAATCTAAAATTCCAAAGTAATAAATTATAATTTATTTTGGTACATTCTGGAATAACAACTAATTTACAATAGCCAGTTTAATATATTTTAATAATTTCTCAATCAGTAATTGGTAGTTGATAATGTTTATAGTGCCATGATCTTCATTTTGTATTTACTTATCTACTCAGTCAATACTCGACACCTTGTTAGTATGAAAATTTAAACTCGGCCAATACTCAGTACCCGGCTTATAACAAATTAACTACATGGAACATCCCTACTTAGTACATATCTACATCATCAACGTTAAAAAAATAAAAAATCAAAGTACGTATAGTATGTATTTAAAAATTATAATATTCAACCATTTTGTATGGATATTAATATAACCGGAATAAAAATCGCATCAGAATCGTTCGTTTTATTTCGTGTTGCATAATAATATGTTATATATCTGCACGGATACAGGTCCACTGTCTATTCTCTGCAGCCGACATCGCAAGTCCATAAAATGAGAAATAAAAAAAAGCTTTCTCTGTTTGAAAAAAACACTATTTTATAATACCCGCGACGAAACTGCAAAAAATGTGAAAAATGATGACCAATGTTATAACAGTTTTCGCGATGCTGATGCACCTTGGCCGGTCACGGGCTCTTCCAAACCACCTGATACTCGAACGCGCGTATGTGTTTAAATTTAATTAAATCAACTCCATAATATATACATACTTCATTTAAAAAAAAAAAAAAAAAAAAGGTAAAAAAACACAGTCATAAGCATATTTTATTTTTTTACGATTGAACTGTTAAAAATATTATTAAATTTTATAACGCGCTTATAGTTCCTATAAAATATTATCCTAAAATATTAAACTCGATTTCAAACACTTAGTTTTATTGGTATTATTATATTTTGTCTTCAAAAAAAAAAGTATATATATACTTATAGATACACGAATGTATCCATTATGATGCAGGCGATCAAAGTTTCATCAGGCGATCAGGTTTTTAGAGAAACGGAACTCGCAATAAAAAACCATTTCGGGTGTTTTATCGAAAAATCATTGTTAACGGTAAACGATTCCGATAAGCGAAGTTCGATTAATATGTTTTGAAATACGGTGAATTTTACGATTTTCAACAAACCGCCCGTGTAGTAAGTCTAGAGATTGCAGGACACCTCTATTATGTCAATTAATTTATATAAATATTATTGCTATTTACTTAGAGTGACTCATTTAGGGTAAGACAAAATGGACCATTACCCCTGAGTGGCATTGTTAAAATGATTTTAGGTGGACATTTTCAGACAAAGGAAGAAGCAAGTTTGGGGAAAGGAAAATAAATAAAATGTTTTGGTACGTGCGTATATACAAATGGGGGGAGAGGGGTTGTATTGGGCCGTAAAAATCCTAGACGCATCACTGTTTATTTCCACACTATTTGGAACATTATCATGATCGTAATAATAATATTTCTAATTACTAATTATAATATCTCCACTGTTAGTTAAGCTCCAAATATTTTTTATTCTCAAACAAATTCGTTGGTTTTTCTCAGTTTTTTTTATTAATTCACGCTCAACCCACATAAGGTACCGTGAAATACCGATTTACAATAAAATTTAATATAATATTTGTCGATCAATTAATGGAAACTACAATAAAATGGGATTAAGAGAGATGTTTGCTCATTGAAACCCATCAATAGTATTTTTTATTCGTACAAGTGTATACCTGTATTCCAACAAAAACCCTCCGTCAACTACGTGTACAAATCTCACTAAGAAAAAAAAAACTCAAGTTAGAAAAGTTGTGGAAAGGGCTAAGTAATTTCTGAAATTCATTAGTATAAAAAGTGTATACAATCGCCCGTATTGGATAAAGTGCGATAATTGAATACAAATAGTTTAACTTAGCTTGGTGGCTACTAATATTTACGATTATAAATAAAGATACAACGCTGACATGAATATTTACATCCCCATTTTATAATTTATTAATATTTACCATAATACTATTTAAGTACATACTATGAAGAGCCGCCAAGCTAAGCTAAATTATTTGTATTGAATTATCGCACTTCATCAAATACAAACAATTATAAACAATTACTATACTAAGGAATTTAAGAAATTACTTAGTCCCGTTTTGATATTACAACTTTTCTAAATTTAATTTTTTTTTTCTTAGTAAGGTAGTTGACGAAATGTTTTTTGTTGGAATATCACTCATTTTGTGTATTCAAATGTTGGATATAGTTAACCTATGTTTTTTTTTACCGAGTGAAAAATTATGGTGACAAAATATCTTTGTTGTTTTATAGATTGAGTAAATGAATACATTATGATGTATAGATATGAATATAAGCGATTGTGAATGTTGTTGGAAAACGATACTATAATAATACAGCGAAGAAATAAATAAACAAAAGTGTTTTTTATTCATCGCAAACGGCCACCGTTGCTAACAGGTGGTAACAACTCGTACAACATGTACATTGTTTAATTGTTTAACAAAATAGCGGTTCGTGTAAAAACTATGCTATTACTTAGGCTGTAAATTTAAAAACAATCAATCCATTAGTTTGGACCACAGATAGATCGGGCCATTTGATGTAAAATTACACAAGTTAAAATAGGAGTTTGCTGTTTCATGTTATACATATATATTGCAGTCGACGCACGAGCTCTTTTTGTGTCCACTGAGCTCTGCACCGTGACCGCGGCGCCGGATCGGTACCAAACATTTTTTTTTTTTTGGAAATAAATAATAATTAATCCGTACATGGAAAAAATACATGTTTCTATAATACAAAATAAATTAATAAGTAAGTAAATATTTATTTTGTTTTATTTCCAATGGGGCTGGGGATATAATGTTTGTTCGCAATAATTTGTATTTGACAACAAAAAAAAAAAAAAAAAAAAACAATTTCTATATAAATATAAAAATGATCAAAAAAAAATTTTTTTTTTTTTAATACATATATGCATTATTAATATTTTAACCTCTTGATCGATATTTAAAAAAGTTACATCATGGAAGATGAATTTAATTGAACGTTCTGGCGATTTTCTGTTAATTGCAAATGAATAAAATCAAAATTAGGTTAATAATTAAATCTGCAGGAAAAGCGTTGCAGATAGGTCTGCACTTAAAGTTTTTAAATAATATAGAAACACATTTTATTGAGCATAAAGTGCTATAGAAACATCGGTATCAACAAAACATTAATAAACTACACAAACTTTATCGATTAATTTAATTTAATTTTTTTTTTCGTGATTATAAATTATACGGATGAAACACCCATCCATATGATTGTGTCACTTATTGTTATCACTATAGCTTATCACGTCATTCAAACTTAGTCACGTTTCCTAACTAGTTAAACTTAATATATTTAACAATGATAACTAATTAATTTAGGTTAAGTACTTACTATTTTAATCGAAACACCAAATAATTTTAGAAAAAGTTACTAAGATAAATAAAAGTTCCCAAGACAGAAAAAAAACCTCAAATAACATTTTTTTTCTTATTACTATTATTATGTGTATTTTGTATGTAAATTAGTTTAATCATATAATTGTCATTCTAATCAGCTTTATCAAGAACGTATTGACTTACACGTTGACAGACGTCCGAAAATTATAAGACTCCGACAAATGATAACGATCCGAAAATGATAATGTACTGTCAATAATTACCAACGAAATTACCTTACTTCCGTGACCTACATAAAACAGTATAATTTAACATAATTATGCTACGTAACATTATACAGTAAAATCTCTATATAATGGACAGCCATGGGGAATTAAAAAATGTCCACTATAGGGAGTTGTCCACTATTGAGAAAACCTTTACATAGTCGACATTTGCGATAAATTACATATTATAAGGAGGCACTATAGAGAATTGGTTATACACATACATACACATTAAAATTGGTATTATTTATTATAATTTATAAAAAAATTATTATGAAATGATTAATATTAAGTTTAATTTGTATTTATTATTTATTATGTATATAATATAAATAATATATATATATATATGTAAGTATATGTATTAATAAATGAGTATGAAAACGTTAAATTTGTATGTATAATTAAAAAAATCCGTAATTTTTTTTGGTACATTTTTTTATCGAATAGGAAAACCATTAACAGGACGATACGAATAAATACTACAATATGATACGAACACGTCATGACTGTAAAAAAAAAAAAAAGTAAATTTTCTAAATGACTTAGATTTGTTTCAATTTAACATCATTAAATTATCATTAAATAGTTATTTTATGTATACAAATATTTCCGGGTATTAGATACTTAGTGTTTTCATGATATTATAATTAGTCAAAAAATACTGATAAAAGTAACTTATAACTTTTAAATTAGTTAGTGCCCAACCTTGAGTCTATAAGGCTAACACTCGAGTTCCTAGTTACCCGTATGAAGTTCAAAAAATACTATTTTCAAAACTATTTAAAATAATTTCAAAAAAAAAAAAATACTGAATTATAAAACACCCGCAGAAGTTAATAAAGCCGAAAATTTAAATTCCAGCAAATCCGATTAAATATATATTACGTTTATTGTTTATTTATTATATTATTTTTATTACGATTTTCTTTTCGGAGTCTCGGAAGTGTTGTATGGGAAAATCTGTTAGGGGTATTAAATAACGGTTTTCGCGCGTTTACCGGGCGAGGATGTAGGTATAGAAGCTTTAGCGGTGCCTTTAAATCCGCGCTTTCTGTGCCGCGTGGGACACGAAACAAAGTATAATAATATATCGCAAAACAACCACGGATTCGCATTATTGTAGTGAAATGTTCAGTGAAATAATAATAATAAAATAAAACGGCTTTTTTTCCCCCCGGTAATAGAATTTGACATTGCTCGCGATTATCCGCGTATTATTTGTGGGGACGTAAGGGGGTCGAAAAAAAATGTAACAACTGCAAAAAATAGCCGTCGTAGGTAAAAATATGTTAAGTAAATGGCATATATTATAATTATTACGCTCATTGATTGTTAATCGAAATAAATATTCTCGTATTTATTAATATACGATAATAGCTTATTCGTATACAAAAATTTGACGAGAAATAAACTGGGTAAGTGCGTTTTAAAAATATTATTAATTATTAGTGTGAAAAAAAAAAGCTGTCCAAGGATAATGGGGACGTGTGCAGCCATTGTTGTAGATGGAAAGTAGGGAGGTTGGATACAAAAGGAAATTGAATGTATATCTGTAGACTGTATGCAACGATAAACCATATTGATAACGAAAAAACGATTTTGAGCGGAGTTCAGCTGATAGTGATGCATTGTCAACAATATATATATATATGTCATATTATAATGGTAACATAATTAAATAGACATTATATATTTTATTTAATAATATTTGTTTAATATTGATCCGATTTTCACGTTATTCCCAGTTTTTCACATTTCCTGAGAAAACTATTGGAAAAATTGAAAAATGA